GTGTCCATCCCTTTATGACCACAGTGTACCCATCTTCTGATGGCTACTTCCAGCAGGATAACGCACCATGTCACAAAGCTCAAATCATCTCAAACTGGTTTCTTGAACATGACAATGAGTTCACTGTACTCCAATGGCCTCCACAGTCACCAGATCTCAATCCAGTAGAGCACCTTTGGGATGTGGTGGAGATTCTCATCATGGATGTGCAGCCGACAAATCTACAGCAACTGTGTGATGCTTTCATGTCAATATGGACCAAAATCTCTGAGGAATGTTTCCAGCACCTTGTTGAATCTATGACACCAAGAATTAAGGCAGCTCTGAAGACAAAGGGGGTCCAACCTGGTACTAGCAAGGTGTACCTAATAAAATGGACATCAGGACGTCCCCTGAAATGTTTTTACATTTTCAAGGAAGAATTCAGGAAAACATCCCAAACTCTGAACAGATTAATTATAGATTTGAGATAAAACAGAGGACACATGAGAGTGTATCTGTATTTTTTTATTTGTATAATAAATAAACTTGTAATACTTCAGGACCACATTTCACAACCACACACACAGAGTATGAATAAAACATACTTTGGATATTTGAGAGCCAATGCAGATAAATCAAATCACCAGACATGAATTAAATAATTTCATTCAACTGTTTCTGTGACAGCAGTTTGTTTTTCAGTGTTTTTTTTTTTAATTTTATTTTTACATTAAAAGTATAATTTCTTACTCTTTACATTCGTCATCATGACTGTGATGCAGTGACTGGAAACATCAGGTCTGAGTGGTTTAACGGTAAAAACAAAGCAACAGGTACAAAAAAAGGCCAAAATAAAATCGTCTACTGCTGCTGCTAGTTTTCTATGACGAGAGCTGAAGTCTGACTGCAGTGTGCTCCTTTGGTAAACACATTGATCAACAGTAAATAAACAATAAATAAATAATGTATTAAAGATAAGAAACGTGCAGCTGCCGGACACATGAGGGTCCGAAACAGAAGAGAAGCCACATGACCTCTGACCTGAAATCAAAATACAGTAAGAAGGCATGAAATCAGTCTCAATGACATCAAGGTAACAATCAACTTATATTGTTTGACGTTATCATGAGCACTAGTTCAAATGTACTCTTACAATCTCTGGGTATTATTTTAATTTATAGCTATTTCTTTACACAAAGTCAAACAGAAATCATATTTTAGTGAAAGTTTGTTGATGTAGTCAATGTAAGACATGTTGAATTAATTTGAATAAATTTGCTGTCTTGCCGAAAGTCACATAAGATTGATAACACTGTTAAGCATGAGCATAGTGGTGATCTCCTTCATCTAACAACCCACAAGAAAGCAAATATTCCCAAAAATGTGATTATTATTCATTAAAAAATCCATTAAAGGTCAGATTAAGGGCAAAGTTTGCATTGTGAATTTAAAAAGTTAAAAACATTAAACGACTGGCAGACATTTTGTTTTTGTTTTAACTCATTTTTTAACCCCAAAATACTGAAAAAAAGCTCTGGTTCCAGCTATTCAAATTAAAATATTTGCAAAGTTTTAATTTGATACCCATTCTTGAGAACTGGGACAAACCCTTCAAAATATTAGCAACACACCTACTTGGTTTCTGTGGTAAAACATTATTGTTAAAGTATTTATATATATATATATGAAATAAATGATTTATTAGATATTTTGATATGCTTTAATGTTTTTTCAACTTATTAACTTGCCCTGTGCCAGAAAACAGCCTTTGTTCCAGACAAGAATTCACAATTTCAAACAATTAAAAAATGTGTTTAAAGCCTTCAAAATCCAAAAATGACAATACATACTGATAACGCTGGTGTGTAAATGTACTGTTATAATTATCTTTGTGTGAAGTTAAGCTTTTTTTTTTTTAAATATAAAAATGTTGGCCCTTTAAAGATGTGTTCCAGATTTTTGTCAGCTTCGTCAGATCTTTACAAAAACATAATTTAATCAGGGGTTAGCTACATCCTGTGGACTTCTGTCTCACTTCCTGGTAAACTTAAAGGGATAGTGCACCCAAAAATGAAAATTCAGCCATTATCTACTCACCCATATGCCGAGGGAGGCTCAGGTGAAGTTTTAGAGTCCTCAGGTCACTTGTGGAGATCCAAGGGGAGAGGGGGTAGCAACACAACTCCACCTAATGGAGGCTGACGGCACCCCAGATTCAAACGTCCAAGAACACATAATTGAAACCACAAAATATCTCCATACTGCTCGTCTGAAGTGATCCAAGTGTCCTGAAGCCCCGACATAAAAAGTTGTTTGGAAAAATGTCATTTGAACTCTGTTTTTAGTCTCATTTGTGCTCATGTGCGCGCGCTTGCACGCGAGACCAGCGAAAACACGTGAACAGTATGGAGATATTTTGTGGTTTCAATTATGTGTTTTTGGATGTTTGAATCTGGGGCGCCGTCAGCCTCCATTAGGTGGAGTTGTGTTGCTACCCCCTCTCCCCTTGGATCTCCGTAAGGGATGTGAGGCCTCCCTCGGCATATGGGTGAGTAGATAATGGCTGAATTTTCATTTTTGGGTGCACTATCCCTTTAGTATTTTAGGATACATTAATTAAATAAAGTTGTTGTCAGGTGTGTCTCAACCATAACATGTTAACTCTGTAGCTGCTCTAAATCAAAACTAAATACAAATTAAAGTTTGAAAATGAGTATTTTGCTTAGCATTAAAGGTAGGGTCTGGAGGATTTTCCAGTTGCTGTTTGTAAACACACATTCAAATTTGGCCCCTCCTATCAGGCTCAACTCTCCCGGGTGTACGGAGCCTGGAGGTAGGAAAAAGGCTTCACAGAAGAGGTTCAGGCAAGGCTCGCGCTGGTGCATGCTCGGACACGGCACCTGCGCTCTCTCATTGGCTGGGGAAATCTCCGCCCAGAAGCGGTCCAAGCTCACAAAAACATCAAAATACAGTTAAAGGGCAGGAGCTCTGCAAACAGAGTCACCACCACACATGAGTAGAAGCCCATAGGTGATGATTAAGCAGGATTTCATTTGTATATGTCTATATTTTGTTTTGTTTGAAAATCCTCCAGATCCTACCTTTAAGAGAACTCTTGGTAACTTTGAAAAATAAATGGCTATTGCTACAACTGCAGTGAAATTCACAATATATAACTTTTTGTCAACTCCATAAGACATCAGCCTCATTAGATCTGACCTCTGACATCTATCGTGTGTAGTTTTTTTTTTAAAATCAATTTTATTATTTATTTATTTTTATTACACACTGATTTATCTGGTATTAGCCTATGTTCAATATTTTTATCGTGATGGTGTACACTATTTTATTTGTCTAATAAAGGACTTTGTAACTGTTTTGAAAAGTGTTATACAAATCAAGTATTATTATTATTATTGTTATTATTGTTATGTATGCTGCTTGAGGAAAAAAAAGGCCCATTACAAGATTTAATTATCAAGATTGTTCTTATTAAATATTTTTTTTCCCCAACCTAATTGTAGCGTAAAAATCAAAAAGCACAAAATAAGGTTTTGTCCCAGTTTTCAAGAATGAGTGTTAAATCAATTTCCTGTGATATTAAACTGACAATATTTGGATTTTGGAAACTGCTGTACAAAACAAGACGTTTGAAACTGATATTTTCTCACATTTTATGGACCAATGAAAAATCAAGAAAATATTAATGGATTATTTAATAATGATAAATCAGTGTTAATTGAAACCCTAGAAATAATTTTCATTTTCTACAATTCTGCCATATTTTGAACAAGGCAAATCTCTAAATCGATAATTTAATGTAATATTTAAAGTGTTGAAAATCTAAAGTGTCCTGTAACACTTGTCTTAGTTTCTTTATTTCCTATATGTTATTTTCTTTATGTGCTTCATGATGATTTCAAGTCGAGTGTCACTTTGAGTCATTCAGCAGATTTAACGTTTGACAGGTCAGTATTCAGTGTCATCACACACACACACACACACACTCACACACACACACACACACACACACCACAACTTACTTATAGCAGTACTGTATTACATGTTGCAATACATACAGTAACATTTATACATCTTCAGTTTTTATAAACGCCCCTCTTGTTGTGATGAACATGTGCACTATGACGGCGAGTTTGAGATGAAGGTCCGTCTTTGATCCCCGGCGGAGCAGTTACTGATTTATTGTGCCAAAATGATTCAGTTATAGGTAGTCGTTGTCTCAGTCGAGCCTTCATGCTACATTCAAGTACTTCAAATAACTGAATGAGTGATTTACTGACCTAACAGTCAGAGTTTTATCGTGGTGTTTTGGGGGGAATTTGTACTACAGTGTAATCTATTACTTATATTAACTACATCTTAAAATAGTCTGATTGCTAAAAATTAACAAGCTAAAACATTTTAAAATAAACTTAATTTTATGGGTGAAAACTGGATTATTTTTTAAGAGAAAGAAAAGACCTCTTTTTTGTTTTGATGAATTAATTCTTAACACAAAGTTCACTCACTGTGTGTTTGAAACACTCGAAACAAATCTCACGGCCTTCTTCAACAGATGGAGTCGCAGCAGTCTCAGTCTGAACAGCATTCATTAACTTCTCTGCGTCACATTATATGGAACAAACTCCTAGAAAAATTTAGGTGAGCTTCAACTGACTAAGTAACCTCATGTGCACCTCCCCAGAAATGTAACTACACGTCATGGCGATGCAGATCCCCTGTCTATTTCTGTAAGCTGAAAATGTTGCTGTTGTCCCTGGTTTTATATGAGTAGAGGAAAAGTCTGCTAGCTGCTAGGCTAATTTATACAATGTAAAATGCCATAGGCTTGTGCTAAAAACATTAGCATGTTGTATTTGTGGGGAAAATGTGTCCAGATAAAGACAAGTGTTTGTCTGTTTTCAATCAATTAAACTTTACAGCACTTCACAGAAACAACCCCACCACCGACTAGTGTTCTGGAGGTGTAACTGCAGAGTGACACAGACACACCACCGCACAAGTATAAATGCTCACAACGGCCCCTGAAACCCTCTAAATAAATAAATAAATAATGGACCCGCCCTTTAAGCACTTTGAGTTGTACTGTTGTTAAAAGGTGCTGTACAGATAAACTCGCCAGTCAGTCTCAGTCCACAACAAACAAGTCACTCCATCTGCCAAGAGGAAGACCACAAACTGTAGTTGAAAGCCTTCAAAACATAAAGTAAGTGGACCTTGTGATCTATAAACGTTTGAACCTTCAAGCTTGTCTCCGGTCCTGTTTATACAATGAGCAAATTCTGCTTTTCATTTAAGTAGATTTCAAGTTTAAAAGATACACAAATCGTTTTTTTTTAGGTTAATTCAGAAACTGGAGTCCAATAAATCGGCTCTGGGAAGAAAAAATACGTTCCAACCTATCTATATTTGGATGAAGACATGTCAGGGAGGGATTTCATATCAGGTCATGTCTGATTGTCGTAAATATCACGTACAACTGTGGCATTCAGTAAATAAAGGAGTAATTTGTAAAAGTAGAGGGCTCCTGAACAGACAACAAACTGGAGTTAAAACATTCTGGAAACTTCCTCGCTGACGCTGCTAACAGGAGAACGGAGGAGATGCTACACGTGTGATGGACGACATGTGAGAGGCGTGTTGGGGGGGGGGGGGGCAAAGGGCAAAAAGGTCACACGTCACTGCGTCAGAGCCAGGAGGATGTCCTTCACCAGCATCGTGCCGATCACCATTTTCTCACAGTTGACTGTCAGCTGGGCGGCTCCTTCCTCTTTGGTTGCCACGGTGACCAACACCAGGCTGCTGCTGGTTACCGTCCTGCCGGCGAACCTGTGGACAGGATGATCAGGAGGAGGAACAGGAGGACTGAGGTCAAAGCAGCAAAGATCGGAAGTAAAGATGAAGCCACAGAATAAAGAGGGACACACGATCAGCAGGTTTATCAACGGTCAGCAACAAAAATAAAAAAGGCCTTTACATGTAAAATAGTGTTTCTACACGTCAGGACTGCAACTTTTATTTAAAGGGTTAAGTTCAATATTTTTGTGTCTAAGTGACTAATGGGAACAACAATTTTTGAAATCAGTCCACTATTAAGTGAGACTGCTGCAGACGGCAGAAGCTAAAGAGGTTGTTATGTAAATACTTGGGGCATTTGGCACTGTAAATTTATGCTTACTCTAAGTGCTTTTTGGCCACTGACGGGCTCAAATTGTTATTCTAAGTGTCTGACAACATTATGGATAGAGCTATTACAAAGACAGACCTTTTTGTTAAAGAGTAGAATCCTTTTTGTTTCCCCTGAAACAGCCCTAAAATTGTTATTGCCAAACCCACCAGACTCCATTTAAGTAATGAGTGTTTTTATCATCATCAAACACACTTAATTCAGATTCTACAGAAACAAAATAAAACTCACAAAAGTCGTCTTGGTTTGTCTGTCAACTGTTCCATCAATCACCAGCTCTGATTTGGCTGGAATTAACCCTACATTCACCCAGTTAGATGTAAGATTAAGCTGGGTTTAAACTGGCTTAAATTACTGTTTATTTAAATGGAGTCTGGTGGGTTTGATGACAATAACATCGGGGTTGTTTCTGGTCAAACAAAAAGGATCGTACTCTTTTCCAAAAAGATCGACCTCTGTAACGATCCTTTCCATAAGTTGTTTGACACTTAAAATAACAATCTGATCCTGTCAGTGGCAAAAACAAGCACTTTCAGCGAATGGAAATTGATGGCTCTCTCATTGCTGGACTGATTTCAAAAATTGTTGTTCCCATTAGTCACTTAGAAACAAAAACATAGAAAAATAGGATCCAGGTTGAAAAATACAGAAGTTCACTTTAAAGTAAAAGACCTGAGTACTTCTTCCACCTCTGGGGTCTCATTTATAAACATTGCGTACACATTGCTCAAAACGAGGCCTAAAAGAGGCGTACGCCACTTCCCATGGAAAAAAGTGATGTATAAAAACAGACTTGATGGGAGAAACTTTGACCCTTGCTTACCAACATTTTGGAGATGGGAAATTGGCGATGCAGATGGTGAGGTGGAGGCCTGATTGTAGAAATTGTGAATTTCTTTTTGGGCGCACGCCATTTTTGTCTTTTTGTATGGAGCCTATGCACTGTTTTATAAATGAGAACCTTTAAAGCTGAAATGTACTCCAGTCACTGACAGTGGGCCCGTGTGTATTCATGTTACATGTACAATTCATCTACTAAAACAGATCACACACAGTAGCTCTAACTGATTGAAATCTGAACCTGATATGTGTGAACACAAATAGAATCTCAAGACACCACTGATCAGCATCATCACAGCAGATTTTGGGGGACGTTCCCGCTGACATTTCCTCTGCTCCTCTCACCTGCACTCTTTATCTGACCCACAGGGGACTCTGCTGAGGTTGGCGGCGGTGGTCACCCTCTGGACAATAGCATGTTCGTTCCGGCACTTTGCATCCAGGGTTAGCTTCTCCGTGATCTCATTCATACCCATTAGCTGACCTGTAGAGGAGTGAGCAGAGCACTGGTCAGACTGGGAAAGATCTTAAAGCTGCTGCTTGTTTTCTCTCTCCCAGTAACATTAATGCAAAGCAGTCATTAATAACACAGCGACACATGACAGGGTGCTGCTGGTACAGTATCAGTGTGGGGACTCAGTACAGTGCTGCCTTATTTAGGAGTCAAATTAAATCAATTATTTGTCTACCAGCTACAGACATATACAGTATTATACACAGATACTGTATACAGGGCTGTGACACTACAGTGATGTAAGACTCAGTACATCAACGACTACTGAAACGTAAACTGGAATGCACTGATGCTTCCCACTGAACACAGGCGGAGATGGACTCAGGTCTGTCGCTGAATTCAAAGCAATAAAGAGGCAGATTGTTTACGAGGTTTCCACGTAGTTTGGATGTTAGATATTTTGAACCAAGGCAGTTTCCCTTTAAGAACTTAAACTTTAATTTGCATCGATTTTGAGATTTGCAGGTCAAAAGACATCAAGACGTCTGGTTGAGAAACCTTCCTAAATTTGGTTGACATGTCTTGATTACAGACAGTCAGTCAGTGGGGCCCTTATGAGTGATTGCCAACTTGGAAATATGCCTTTGTTTAAAGAACTCTCATTAAATTAAAAACAGTGCCATTTGCTGTAGATCCTTTCACTGTTGGTAAACAGTCTGACATTTTTTTGGGTGGGCGGGGCTTAGCTGGAGGCAAAACAATTCTCCACAGACATTAGTTAGCAAGTTCTGTTGACTTGTTTCAGACAATGGAGGAAGATGATGTGAGCGGTGCATTCAGGAAGATTCATTCCGGGGCGTCGGTGGCTTAGTGGTAAAGCAGGCGCCCCATGTACAAGGCTGTTGCCGCAGCGGCCCGGGTTCGACTCCAGCCTGTGGCCCTTTGCTGCATGTCACTCCCTCTCTCTCTCTCCCCCCCCTTTCACGCTTAGCTGTCCTATCAATTAAAGGCAAAATGGCCCAAAAAAATATCTTAATAAATATCTTCCACAAGAGACCTTAGCAACCAAAGCAAGGTTAAAAAAAAGGTACCTCTGACTCTGTCTTAACTGTAACATGACCAAGCTTATGGTGATAAATGAAAAAACTAACACACCTGAGGAATATTCTGCAACCAGGACAACCCAGTGGATACGCTTTTGATTTTACACTATAGATCTGACTGAATTAGTTTCTGTTGCATCTTCCTATAATCGTTTCTGTTTTCTGGTATTTGGGGATCAAATTTCCTTTATAGTTGTGCTTCCTATGATTGTATGCCTCCAGAGGTATATTATTTTCCTCCTCTGACCAATATGGTTTTCTTGTCTTATTTTCTTCTGACATTTTTTCATTAACTATAAGTCAACTTTGTGAGAAGATAACAGACATCACAAGCCTGAGTACAAGCAAACTTTTACCGCTGTATAATCTCTTTCAACGCAGTAAATGAGGTGACGTTTTTGAACTGAGAAAACCTTTGAAGGGATTCTGTGCAACTAGGCAAGTCCCTCAGCTGAGGAGAAATTAAGCCATAAGTGTCATACTTAAAGAGAAACCTTAAGGTGTTTTGTGCAATTGGTCACTTGTCTGGTTGCCAGGCAGAGGTAGGTTCCTAATTACCTCAAACTATGTGTCCATTCCTCGATTATCCTGTAAGTTATTCATATTCCTTTAGTCCGTAAGGGTCCTCAGATCAAAAGAATCAAAAGGGTTTTTCATAGAAATTAATCCAAGTTGTGAGTTTTGTTTTAACAGGATAAAGTGGTGTTGTGTTGGTATCACAAATTTGCCTCAATGGGCTTCATTATCTGTACAGCATATTGCACAATCTGTCCTTAGACCCCTGATTCAGATAAGAAAAAACCCTTAACAGGAAAATGTATGCAACCTGTGACAAGTGGTTACACGTAGACAAAGCTCAGCTATAAGGAATCTTAGCCAAAAAAGGCTCATCAGTTAGTAGAAAATCAGCAGATTAATTGCTAATGAAAATAACTGTTAGTTGCACGTTATTGGAACCAAGCTGTCTTAAAAAAAGAAGCTTTTACTCTTTAATCAAATATAAGCAGATGTCAAGATGTCTTTCGACCTGCAAATCACAGAAATGTTTTGTGCTTACGATGTTTAAATGCACAACAAACATTGTGACATTGCAACACTTCAGATTCCCAACATGGTCAGTGGTGATCAGCAGTGTGATCGAGCCTGATGTCATGATTTTTTGTTCACACGGTGTTTGAAGAGTGAGTCGGGATCAGTGGATGAGCATTTTCAGTCATTCCTGGTGTAGCAGAGTGTGAGCGGCCTTTTGATAAGATGCAGGTTAGTGCAGGTGAGTCTGTCTGCAGCTACAGACACAGAGGTGCAGTTAAAGTGTTGATTACCAAGGCAGGAGGGGAGGAGGGGGAGTCAGCTGGAGGCATTAGAGGAGGAGGAGGGGGGGGGGGGGGGGGGGGGGGGGGGGGGGGGGGGGGGGGGGGGGGGGGGGGGGGGGGGGGGGGGGGGGGGGGGGGGGGGTGTCTGTGTGAGGCTGGCTTAAAGGCAGGTGGGCACACAGATGGCTGGGAAAAACAAATCTAAGAACTTACCTAGTAATAGCTTCTCTATGGGGGACAGTACGAAGAGGGAGGAACCGTGGATATGACACATGTTTAAAGAGCTCAGAAGTTGCTCAGTGTTAGTCAGGATGGGAAATGAATACCATACAACAGAAACATGCTGTTGTCTGTAGCTGCTCTGATAAACACTTTGTTCATGTTGTATTTAGTGTATTTAAAGTGGCCAGTAAACACAGAGGGTCTGTCCCAATACCCACACTCACAGTCTTGAGTTCTTGCGTGGTACACAAGTGTGTCCACATCAGAAATATACCAACATGCAGTACATTTAGGCAGTTTCATTTTGGCTTCACTGGGCAAAAATCCCATGATAAATCTTTAGCATTTTGTAATTGATCTTACGCTAAGCCCCGCCCCTTTGTGATGGTCCGACAAGCTGTCTGAGTAAGCATGGAGCCCACGCTGTGACTAACTGCACTCCCTGAAGAAATGTTATCATATTTTTGGGAAAATGAAAGAGTGATTCCAGAGAGAAGCAGACAGAGGGGTCTACAGTCTGTGTTTGAAGGATATATCCAGGATGTCAAACTGACTCAGCAGCAACAACAGGTTAAAAAGACAAAGATAGTTAGAAGCTAAAGCCGAACTATAGGCTACAGATCACAGTGTAAAAGTGAACCACCACATCACTGCTGATCGCCACACAAGACAATTAATATAAAGGGAAACTTTGCTGATATTGAACCAGCTGTGTGGCATCACAGTGTGTGCAGATGAACCGTGTTTGGCCAGACTGTTGGGGAACAAGCACTGTTCTTTGCACACACTGTGATGACACACAGCTGGTTCAATATCAGCAAAGTTTCCCTGGTTCCTGTACAGCAGGGTCGGTCTTTGTTTCACTGTTATAATCATTGAAAAGCAAAAGCAGCATGTGTATACATTCAGTAGGCTATATCTTCAGTAGCTAGCTAGCTAATCCTACACTTTTCAGGGTTTGATTTTGGTTTCGGAACAGGGAAGAAACGTATATCTTTTTCCAACCTCTCCAGGTAATGAGTGTCATTAATACACGACGTGCCCCAGACACAACATTTAGCTCCAAATCCACAAAACCAGCCTGAAAATGAAGGAAATCTGAAATGACTGCATTAGAGTCAATGGAGCACAGCTGTGTTGTTGTCGGACCCTGGTCTGAGCCGGCACAATGCTACGTTATCATTGGCCAGTGTGCGTCAGGGGACGGGACTTAAGGAAGGGTCAATTCAAGTGAACTTAAGAGAAAATTAAACTCCTGCACCTTCTCTTGGCTCTGTTTTCAGGCTTTGGAAAATCTAGTCCGTGATGGGAGATTCTAACCAATCATAGGTCGTCTCCAATAGCAGTTCTACAAATGCAGATGTGCATACACGTCCCTTCAGTGAAAGTCTGATTTAATGGTGGAGAATCCTGCAGAGAAAGCTGCTATTCAAGCACTGCCATCAAATGCAGTTCACTCTCTATCTCTGGTAGGGTTAGGGTACCGAAACCCGGTATTAAACGAGCTCTGGGGATAAATTATCAAAGACCATAGTACTGATAAACTCCAACGTTCGCTCTGTTATGTGAAGTAGAGTTACGCGCTTTTAGATAACTCAATTTTATATCTTTATCATATTGCTCCTCCTGTTTAATCATCACGTGAATGTAACTGTGATGCTGTGTCTTGTCATACATTTGTTCATTAGTGGCAATTAAATAAAGGTCTGTCTACAGATCTTGATGGAGCCATGTGCCACAGGAAGGGACTCATTATCATTATGACGTGTGTTCCAGTGAAGACTGATAAACCTCGACAGGACGTGATTACAAGAAATATCTCACAATACTCGCAGTAGATGTAAATGTAAATGTGGATGTGGGTATTGACAGACATTTAGTTTCCTGCACTGATGAAGCTGTTGTGCAGCAAACAGTTTGAAATAAAGAAACAGCATGCAGTCCTGTGATTATTAACAGACTGTGACTGTTGCCTTGATGAATAAATACAAATCAATACACACATTATAACAAAAAAAACTGTATGAGTGATGTCACCTGAATAATTCCAGGTGTTGCATTTATTTTAAGGTATTCTTTTTTAGTGATGAAATTATCATTCTTGACATTAATTGTTTTAACAGCTTCATCAAAAGGTACAAAATATTAAAATAAATGCTGCTGATTAGAAAGAAGAGATGTTGAATTCAGTCCCTCCTGATGTAAAATGAATGCACTTTTTGCTCAGTTTTAAAAATGTTTCCTCCTTAATTTACTGTATTACTGTCATTTTTATCAGTTTCCATATTCAGTTATTATATGTAGACTTCAGATTGTCTCTGATCAACAAAGGTGCAGCAGGTTTTACCCGACAACGGTCTGATTTACTGAAACAAACCATGAGACTCCAATGCCTGTTGAGCAAGAACATATATCCACAGCAGATGAATACCTACAATCAGAATTCAGAGCTTCATTGCTCTTTTGTCACTTTATAACTGAACAAAATCCCACAAAAACTCATGTCTCAGGATAAATATCCCTTCAAAATTTATTTGGCTGTTAGCTAGAAAGAAAAGTGACTGCGTGCTATCAACAGAAAAGTGACTGCGTGCTATCAGGCCCTCCAGTAAAGAACAACTGGACCGTAATAGTCAGTAAAATGAAATGGAGATACTGACATTTACCGTAATATTACACTTTCATCAATATGTAAAATACTGGGGAAAATGGACGACATATATGTGCCTATAAAAAACAGCCCATAATTTATGTTTATGCCCATGTCAACTAGAGGTGAGGGATATAATCAAATCTTAGATGCATCATGATGCTGACGTGGATGATTTGGCATCAGTTTACAAATATCAGTAATTGACTATCTTAGTATTTATGAATAACGTGATGTTGACGGAAAAAAAAGAGGCAGAACTCAGCTGCAAGGGCAGTGTAGCACCCGGACAGAGATAACTTGTAATTCATCTTCACAAAGGCAGCTGTTGCCAGCTTGTTTTAATTCAATGTCTAAATAATTACATTTACAGGAAGAATGTGAAGTATATTGTGAATACTTTCTATGCCTTCACCCAGAGAGTAATGTTAATGTAGGGGAGCAGTGATCAGCAGTAGGGTTGCAACAGTATGAGATTTTCACAGTACCATATTCGTCTCAGAAAATATTGCGGTTTCACAGTATTAAACAATTTATATCATTATCAGTCATAATGACCCTTTAAGGAATGAAAATGGAATGGTAACATTTTATTATTATGATTCAAACTTGAAATGTGGTAATGGAAGTATGTGTAAAAAGTCACCCCTTAGAAAATAACTAAAATACAGATGAGATTCAACTTCCAGTTAGCATTTTTTTTCCAATATCTAAGATTAGCAAATGTACACGGTATGATTATCTTGAACTTATATATCGTAGTATAACTTGAAACCGGTATATCGGTGCAACCCTAATCAGCAGTAACGTAAACAAACAAGACCGGCTGACAAACACATGCTGCTGTATTAAACAACTCAAACCGACTCATTAGTAAAGAAAATAATTATACTGAGTCTGTTTTACATCAAAAACCCTGCATCCACCTGCTCAGCATCTTAAGGCCCTGACACACCAAGCCGACGGTCGGCCGTCGACCAAAGTCAGGCCGTCGGTGAGCGTCTGTCGGCCTAGTTTTTGCGGTGTGTCCAGCACCATTGGCACTTTGGCGTCGGCGGCTTTTTGGCTGATTGAGCATGTTGAATTGGCGGCGGAGCTTGTCGGTGAGAGAGATCACTCTGATTGGCTGTTCTAGTTTTATTTCCTCGCCTCTGTGGCGAGTGAATCTGCCTGTAGTGAAACCGGGGCTAACTGGTGTTTCCTCCTCAGGCTCCACTTCACTCAGCTGCCCGACAGACCCGCTGCTTCTTCCCACTTTAACCTGAATAACAAACTGGAGCTAGCTGTGAGGCTAGTGGAGTGTTAGCCGCAGCATGACCGGAGGGAAGCACAGCCAGTTAGCCTCCACTAGCTTCCCAGCTAGCCCCGGCTCTCTGTTTGGATCCAACCGGAGCACCGAGCCCTGGTTTGTTATTCAGATTAAAGTGGGAAGAAGCAGCGGGTTTATCGGGCAGTTGAGCCTGCGGAGGAAACACCAGGACCGTCTGAATGTAATAGTCCGTGGAGGTGCTGCGGTGCTCGGCTGCACGGATAGATAACACCTCGGCTGACAGGATGTACCATTCTTTCACTCCGCTCTCTCTCACGCAGGCGCAGAACGTACGGCACTTGGCCGTTGGATGTAGTCCTTGTAGTGTGTTCAAATGCAACTGACACAGGGCGATGTGAGGCGACGTAGACGACGCAACAGTTGGCTTTCGGCGCCTCTAGTTCTTTGATGTCGGTTTGGTGTGTCCGTACCTTTAGGTTTACACAAAGCTAATGTACAGCAGAAGGGCTGCTCTCCACTGCTGGAGATGCTAAACTACACAGCAGAGCACGCGGACTCACCCTCATTTTGTTATTCTCATTCATGCAGGAGTCTGTAAGGAGCTTCCAGATTAATTACTTCATTAGTTAATGCAGTTAACTTTTTAAAATTATGTTATTTAAAACAGTGTGGATAAGCTCCGGTGTGGATGCATTTTGGCTTCTATGAAGTTAAATGGAAAACAGACCTAGACAAGAGCCACACTGTATGCAAGTACAGTAATCTGTTTAATTATGAAGTTGCTAAATGAACAGATAGAAGTATTAAGAAAATAAAAATGAGAAATCACTTGTGTATGCACCTCTTCACAGTACAGACGTCCAGCAGTAGCTACTATAACGCCCTTTTCTATTTTTATTTAATTGTTTAATATGAAGACTGTAAATTCAGTGTTTTTAAATTCTATATTCTTTAATAGTCATTTAATTTCCTTTGATAACTCACCTTGCTCCTTTTTAAACTCATTCTCTGTCAGGAAGACGGGCCTCATCAGCTCCCCGACTGGCGGCTGAATCGACACGAAGAATTTCCTGGTGTGAGTGCTGAAAATGGAGACGTGAAAAACAAAACAACTGCAGTGTAAGGAATTACTCTTCATTTTCTGAAAGAACAACTGATGTGATCTAAATTTCACTACTAATATCTTTCCTTAGTGCTGTATGCAAATCCTGGTGGGATGAAACATCACAGTTGTGAGTCTAAAACAATATTTCACTTGCCCTGCAGACACATGCAGCACTAACAGTTTTAACAGTTGTAAGGTTTATGATAGAGAGCAGCAGCCCTGTGTCTGTTTTCACACAGTACAACGAGAGGACGGCAGGAGGTCTGCACACTGAAACACAGAATCCATCTCACCACAGCTGGAAGTTTGCAGCTTGTGTTGAGTCACAGAAATCGATGCCCATCACAGCTGTGGCTGTTTCACCTGCTGGCAGCAGCTCTGTCAACGCACAGCAACAAAAAGACAACAGGGTTGACACACGTACCAACAAAAAACAACATAAACCTGCAGCCAGAATCTTTGATCTGAGATTAAACGTGTTCAACACAGCATCATGGAAACTAAAAAATGCATGATTGGTTGAGCTGCACAAAAACTGAAATACTTTAAAATAACAGCTCCAACATGACAAAAACCCTGATGTATCATAAAGACATTTTCATTTCTGCTTTCTTCATTACAAAGTTGCAGTTTGATGGACGTCTTTTGGCTCATCGATTGAATTATTTCCTAGTTGTATTTTCATTCCTGTACAGTAACTACAATGACATTAAAGTGTGAGAATTTATAAATGGTACATAAAGTGTGTATTTAGCATGTGCATGTATTGGGGCATCGGGACACAACACTAGCAATTTGTACAAATGGGGTAAAACATATCTCATTACCATATAACCATATTACTTTTATTCACATGATTTGCTTCTTTTCTGTTGTATCTTCCTTCACCTGCATTTTATACTTTTTCCTGTTTTATTTTGTTCTGAATGTTAAACACTGATCTATTCTACACTTTTACACACACTTGTTATGTGTTATTTTGTAGTTTTATGCTTTAAAATGCATTTGTTCACACAGGACTTTGATTGATTCTTAACAGTAACTTTGTGTTCCTCTAGCATCATTATCAGGCACAAATTTCAACTTGTACATTAAAAATCTCGAAGACTAGAAAAGTGCAGATCTACGCCAGTGTAATGCTATTGTTACTAAGAACTGGAATCACCAGAGGATCCACGATACAATATCATCATGACACTTAAATCACAATTCAATATTACTGCGATTTTAAATATGGTGCAAAATGCTGAGTATTGCAATAAAATACATTGCAATCTATTACCTTTTTTCAAAGGTAAATTATAACCCAAAAGGAAAACTTTGCCAACATATGTTTTATCTAATAAGATAAAGTTTTCAGTCTGTTCATCTCGCCACCTTAAGTTCAATTTGTATTTGTGATATTAAAAGTTATATAATTAAAAAAATGTAAACATCAATACATGGCAATAAGTGACAACAAGATATTGCCAGACAAAAAATATCGGGATACTACGCTGTGTCGATTTTTTCGCTCACATTCCCCAAATTGTAACCGAGTGTTCTGGGTATGCCTATCTGTATGAAGTTAGGGTTCTATTTACAACATTCAGAACATTAATATAGCAGCAAACAACTATTTGCTATGTGAAGATATAGTGGAGTAATGGCATCCTGAGCACAGAATGATGTCTCGCTACCTCTGTGTATGCTGTAAACTGAGCTGCTCCGTTCTTTGTTTTTAGCCAGCTGTGTGTGCATGTTAGTGCACGTGAGTCCCTGCGTGTGTATCCCACTGGTTAGCTCTTCACTGTGCTCATATGGCAGTTACCACTGATAATGCTGCCCTGACACACGGTGGCAGGAAGGTGTCATCGCAGAAGCATAACGCCCACCCTTCCCTTCCCCCAAGTTTACAGTTAGCTCTGTTAGCACTGTCGCCGTTGTAAATGTTAGCTAGCATAATGTTAGCTGTCAGCCTCTGCATCCTCTGAGCATGTTCCTGGGTTTGTTTGTTTTTTTATGACAGCAAAATAAATGCTGGTGCTTTGTTTGGATCAAATAAAAAGTTCCTGTCGGACCCCGCGAAAGTGTCACTCACCAATCTCAGAAAACTCTTTCACCCTCATCCCAGACTGGAGCTTCACGTCCTCCATGTGCAGGTTCTTGGTCTCGGAGGTGGCGTTGTTGGTGAACTGCATCTGCACTGCCACCATGTTGCCGTCGGGGCTGAACGGCTGTCGGCTGAAGCAGTACTCCACTGACAGACCCTCCCCTGTGATCCGGTGCAGCAGCTCGTAGCTCTTCAGCGCACTGGAGGGAGCGATGGTCTGTGGGCAGAGGAAGAGGAGATGAAGAAAAGGTTGATATCAATTATCAGATATCGGCATGTGAGCTGCTTTTGTAAATTTTTTCGAACAAAGCCGTGTACCAGTCGGAGCCCCACTGTGTGAAGACAGACACCAGGGAGGTGACAGACCCGTGATGTACTTACTGCTGGAGAGAGAACAGCGTCAGACAGAGACAGTCCCTCCAGGTCGGTCACAAGGCTGTTGGACAGGAAGGTGTTGACGGGTGTGACTTGAGGAGAGGGAGCAGGTTCGACTGGAAAGAGAGACGTTAGTGTGAGACTCATTCCCCAAGGACGTCCCCAAATTTAGCCCTGACTCTGTTCATCTATTCATTATATTATCTCTTGTGGGAGCAAAGTTTTAGTTTTGACTCGGCACAGTCAAGTGCACCGACTGTTACTGCGACTCTGACAAACAATCACAAGGTTTGCAAACAACCTTGTTCACTGACTTCTCCTCACTGAAGTCAGCGTCATTACTTCTGTATTCTCTTTCAAGAGCAGGAAGTTAACAGAGGTGAGAAGAAAAACTCACAATCATCGAGGTCGAGCAGAGACATTTCTTTCTTCTCTTTCTTGCTCTCCTTCTTGACAGGTTTAGATGGAGGTTTTGATTCAGCTGCCTGGAAAGAGATGAAAGAACACTGACATGAATAAATGAAGATTTTCACATTACTGTGTGAACTCTAAACACAGGAGCGTTTGGTCCACGAGTCAACCAGGGAGTTATTTTGTTTTATTTGTAGACAAGGACCTGAATTCACCACTTAACATTGTGGGGTGTGTTTTCGATACCTTTTTTTTCTTTTTGACCTCTGTCTCAGACTCAGAGTCTTCGGACTCTGATTGGCTGCTTTCAGACTCGCTCTCGTCCTCATCATCAGATTCAGACTCTGAGTCGCTCTTACGTTGTTTACTCTTCCTGTCATGCTTCCTCTCTTCTTCTTCACTGCTCTGCTCGCTGGAAAGAAAGGTTTTATTTAGGATCCTGGAGTTGTAATTATTATCAGGGATCAGACAGATTGTACTGTATCTAACCTATAATCCATTTTATTGCCAAGTAGGTTTTCACATACTAAGAATTTTTGTATTGGTACATAACATAAACATAGTGAGAAAAAAATGAAACAAACAAGTGTTGTAAAAATTTAAGTAATATGAACACAGACTAGAATAAAGTTAAAAATATGAAAATACTATAAAAATACTATTAAAGATGATGTACTATACATTTAATGTAAATGAAAGACCTGAGCAGTGGTAGTTTATGCAGAGATGAGCAAAATATCAAACTACCAATCAAACTAAACCACACCCACCGGCCACTTTATTAGGTACACCTTGCTAGCACCAAGTTGGACCCCTTTTGCCTTTAGCATTTCCTTAATTCTTGGTGGCATAGATTCAACAAGGTGCTGAAAACATTCCTCAGAGATTCTGCTCCATATTGAAGGTGACCTCTGACCTCTGGCATCAACAAGGCATTTTCACCCAGAGAACTGCTGCTCACTGGATATTTTCTCTTTCTGGGACCATCCTCTGTAAACCCTAGAGATGGTTGTGTGTGAAAATCCCAGTAGATCAGCCCGTCTGGCACCAACAACCATGCCAAAGTCACTTAAATCACCTTTCTTCCCCATTCTGATGCTCGGTTTGAACTTCAGCAGGTCGTCTTGACCATGTCTACATGCCGCAATCCACTGAGTTGCTGCCACGTGATTGGCTGATTAGCTATTTGTGTTACTCTCTTACAGGTGTACCTAATAAAGTGGCCAGTGAGTGAAAATTAGGCACAAAGGCACCCAGAAACGAGTAAAGTGACCACAACACATTTACTGCGTTATCTGAATTTGGGTCCTATTCTTGTCTCTTCAGTATATCCACACATTTGTTTTATCTTTGCCAATTTTTCCTTTATTTTGGGGGAAAAAAAAAAAAAAAACTTTTTAATTTGCTTATTGTTTCAATTTTAAAATACAGTCCTGCATCTTTTATATCATCTGTTTCATTTCTGTGAATGTACATAAAAAAATAATTTTATAATTCTTATATATATAAATTTTATATAAATGGAAATAAGCACTAACACAATATACTGTCTGTTTAATTTTCTTTACCTCAATGAAAATATTTTAAATGAAGTGACCACAACAAATGAAAGCATGTTTAAGAGTCAAAATATTCGTTCCAGGACCTCGGGATCGGCGATAACCACGCACAAAATGAAATATTATAAATTAAGTAAAGTTAATACAAAAGGTTAGAGTCACATGATCTCAATGATTGGTGTTCAAACCTAAAAAAAGTGTGCTACCTTTCACTTTCTTGCACCGGCTTCTTTAATTCCTTCTTTTTCTTCTTCTTGTCCTTCTCCTCCTCCTCATCCTCCTCTTCCTCAGACTCGGAGCCTTCCTCGCTCTCTTCGCTCTCTGATCCCGACCCGCTCTCCTCGCTGCCACTGCCACTCTCAGAGCCACTGGCAGAGTCCGACTCTGACGGGGGGAAAGGTCAAAGATGAGAGGTCAGTGGGTGAGCGTGTCAGTTAACTTATACACAGACACGCACATGGAAGTCTACCTGGTTTTAGTAACATCATCTCCTCTGACATAAAACAAAAAGTTTTCATTTACAACAATCAGGATCAAACTCAATGTCTCATGTGGTCAAATCTAAAGTAACTTCTTACTCTGTGAAATCATTATTTGTTCCAGTTTTTCCTTAATGATCAAAATTTTATCATCTCTTGCATCATTGATACCACAGACGCATTTTCCTTTTTTAGAGGCAGGTTACAATAAAAAAGAAAAAAGAATAAGCAGGTTCCCACACAACAAAAATGACTACAGAGAGATCAGAGAGAAAACTTTGTGCTACACCTTCATTAATATATTAATTAATGCCTCCCTAAAGCTTAAGAGCTCATGCTCTCTCTCTCACACACACACACACACACACACACACACACACATATCTGTAATGGACTAATCTGACTAAAGGATGTGACGACAACAGCACAGCCTGCTATAGTTACCACTGTCAGCTGACTCTGTCGGCCCAGACTCGCCCTCCGAGTCAGAGTAGAACGGCTTCTCCACTTTCTTCTCCTTCCTCTTCTCTCGGCTGCTGCACTTGGTCCATTCAGGCACCTAGCAGAGGAAGCAGAGTTCAAACAGTGAGCCGCCAGCTCCGCCCGGGTGACAACCCCCTCAGACAGAAGCAGAGACGTGGGCAGATTACAGTAGCATGGCCATGAATGCCTCTGCCTGGGTGCGAAGCAGCCAAAAGAAGCCAGCCATCAGATCTGCTTTTAGATCTGACAGTCAGAGAACAAATTCAGTACAGACATTAATGTGATTTTTGTGCACAGATAGATGTCAGCACCAGGTGATGCCTTCATGACCAGTTGCAGAGATGGTTTTCTTTTAATACAAGGAGCAGTTCCATTAAGAGAAGTGATGTCTTTGAGGAGCGGTGACTATCCTCCCACACTTTGAAAAAGACGCTGATCTGTCTCGCTCTTCCTGTGACCAAACTCATTAACCAGAGCCATCTGCTAATGAGTGCGGACATCTCCAAACCCCATTTAAAACCCATGAGGCTGCTAATGCATGCCGACATGTCAGAGGACCGCATGTCCTGCTGAAAGAATCACTTCTTTAATGGTAGAGACCGAGGAAGAGGGTGCCGTGTTTCAGGTAGCTTTGGCTGAGCTAAGCACAGAACAGCGACTACATTAGGCGGCGGGGGGAGAGTGGGGTGTCAGAAAGCACTCGGGTTTTGCCGCTATATGGGTTGAGGCTCAAGGAGGTGGGCTCTTTGCCGCTAACTGACTCACACTCGTTAATGTTGTGACTCTTTCAAGCAGCGTAAAAACCTGGCAGATGTAGAAAAGAAAAAAAAGATTGGGATGGAGGTGAGATAAGGGAGGAGAAAGAAGTCAGGAAAGCAAGAGAAACAAGCACAGGAAGGTTTCTGGGTCTAAAAAGAAGACGTGTGAGAACAGTTTCTGATATCACAGAGACAAAATAAACCCCAGATTTCATCACAGTATTTAGCAAAATATCTGGAAAATAAGGTAGCTACTTTTTTCTAGTAAAACTAAAGCACTCCAATATAACTTAACCATACTGTATATACTTAAATATAAACTTAAAGAAAGAAAGGAAAAGTCAACATTAACATTCACTATTTCTAATATGTCAAGCAAATACACAACAATGCATTAAGTATTAATGTTTTCATCAGTGACAAAGCATGATGTCATTCCAGCATGGATAAAATGATGAGGTGGAACAGGAGAGGCGGATCAGAAATCTGAATCACATCACTCAGTAAAACACATCAACTTTTGTGACACGATACAAACCGTGTCACAAATTTCACGCGAGACCAGTTTGGTGCAGAAGATGAAAACAGTGAAGTCAGAGGCCTCCGAACTGACCAGCTCACGTAACAGCTTATTGTCTTATTTGGGGCTTTCGGATGATACGCTACAGCTTTTATCCAGAGCACGTTGCAGTTTACCTCTCACTCATCTTTATCATCAGCAGATGAAGCTTGGCAAGTTGTCTTCAAATTGTAGAGGTCAAACCTTCTTTTATGGTTGAATTCATGGGAAAAACTTTGTTTGTTTACATGCTTCAGGAGAACGAAGAGTCCAAAAAACAAAGAAAATTCATGATGAATTGAAGTAAAGCGAGGCCGCGTTTAACAACAGCAAAACCATATCAAAACATCAGTTTACCAACTCTCAAACAACTCTTGCAGAATAATTATGTATATAATGTAATTATGAATAAATTATGTGAACTGCATATACTCGAATCCTCTCTTAGAGAATAAAAAAAGCGTTGCGGAGCTTCTTCCTGTGCGTCCGGCAACACTAAATCCCTGAGCTTGCCTGAGAAGGACTAAACACAAAAAACGCTATTTTCAAATATCCCATGGAGAGAGACTCTCACTGCAGCCTATTCCATTTTGTTCTGAATGGTTGGCGTGCAGCCTCGTTCTGTGGACGATAAACGAGGTGCAGACTTCCCTTTATGTCACTGGTGATGAGGAAATACAGTGAGTGCTGGACGGAGCAGTGAGTGACAACAACCCCGCCCACATTTAAGAAGACTGTTTGCAGTGGAAATGCTAGGGTCTAGGTACCATGTCTGAAGGGTTACTGTTGGTTCCAACGGTACCATACTGAAAGTGGTGGAAACAGGGTTTACACAACTGGATAAATAAGATTTACATGAGTTGTGTGCGAGTTTGTAAACGTATGTTTTGATATAGTTTTGCTGTTTTTACACGTGGACACCATTTACTTCATGCATCAAGAATTTTCTTTCCGTTTTTGGGTTCTTTGTTTACTGTGGAAAGACATGAGAAAAACAGTTTTCTAACGTAACACGGGTCGATTCATTGATATACACATCATCATTTTGTGGGTGAAAGATTGCTTCAAAGTTAAGTGTAAATAAGTGAGTAAGTGGACATTGAATGCAGTTTTTAAATGTCAATCTCAACTTTTGAGCAAACATAGAAGAAAAGTTCTAAAAGTGCTCAGAATACTGGAAGAATTATTAATAACATAATGCTGAGTTTAAACAATTATAGTTCATTGACAACTGAGCAAATTTCATCTGCTGATGAAGACCATGGGATATCATCGAAAGCCCTCAGAGAGGCAAGTAAGTGGACCTTAAGTTGAGACTTCCAACTACTGTCAAGCTCATCTTACTGATTCTTTTGACTGGATTCATTTACTACTTAAATAAGTCTTTATGATGTATCATCAACTCTACAGTTTGAAGTTCTAAAGAGAATAAATTATTATTTGTGTATCCTCTGGTTTATCTCTTTCCACTTGGGAGAAAGACGGCTCAGCTGTCTCTCTGTTAATCTGCCGTGATGCAGTGAGGGGTAAAATCTTATTAATCTTATCTTGTCAGCTTGACTATCGTCAGTCGCTGCGTTCTGACAACCAGAGAGAGACTATGAGAGGAAAGAGACAGCAGTCATCAAGACAAACACCACCGCACTCCCAAACCGAGGAGGCACCTCTCTCCAGTCTCCTAGCAAGCCGATCCGCCCCTCGCTGGTGGTTATGACTTCCTCTGTCTGTGGAGATGCATAATGTGCAGAGAGCCTGTCAGAGAGGTCTGAGCTTCAGAGGATCCACTCACCCTCACCGCTTTTACATGAGTGGATGTGACAGGACGCTCAGTCTGATAACGACCCAGTGACGTTTCTGAGCACCTGAGCTGCTACTTCAAGGACCATACTGGAGTTCTTTGCTTATTTATTCTTTAAGTACAAATCACGACCATCACACATCACTGTTGACCATTTTCTAAAGCTTACTTTTTAGGTTTTTCAAGTCGTACATTGCTTTTCATTCTTTTTAACACACTTTGAAAAACAACCTACAGATTTGAGATGTGCTCAGAGTTCAAATATCCCTTTGTAGACACCACCCATCATGTTTAATGTGTTATTCTGAATGTATTTTACTCTATTGAATGTTATTTAACCCTATGAATTATACAAAAAGTGAATGTTGTAGAATTATTTCGTCACACTAGATGCGCAGTCCTTGGATTGTCAACGTCTTTTTTTTCTTCCTTTTTGGTCACCTTTGTATTCCTGCTATCAGCACTCCATCAATGTATCCGTCTCTTTTAACGACTTCAAGGTTCTCTGCAGCAGGTGGTTCAGCTGATGGTGGGACATTTGACCAAATTAAAATCTGTATCCCCTGGCAACTGCAAGAGCACTCCCTGTGGTAAACAAACCCACAGGTCTGTGGTAGATGGACTGATTCGTCACAATAAACAAATCACACTATTATCACATGGTAACTGCAGCAGGGACTACTCTGAAAACTCTCCTTTATGGTGCAATCAATAGGATTTCCAACAATATTTTAAGGGGCTGCAGCAGAAACCTATGTTGGTCTTTAATCCAGACTAAATGTTGATTTTAGAAACAAGATTAAAGTCTGAAACACACCCGCGAGAATCGATTGATCCTGACCTGGAGGACCTATTACAGCAAAGACATAAATCAATGCCTCTCCAAACACCCAAATCCAATATCTATTCAAACTAAATGTCAGAATGATTAACTGAAACATAATTTTGGAATTGCAATGACTATAATCATTTAATTTAGGTTGGTAATTCAGAGGATTTTTAAATGAAGTTGATTTGTTAAGGTTCGGGAGCAGGGCAACGCCTCAACCACATCTCTGATGATCTGCCAAGGCTACTTATACCTGGTCAACCCATCCTGCTCTGTTTGTCTCAGATTTCTCGACCCACCCTCCCTTTTCCTTCATCCATCATCCTCCCTACCTCATCCCTACCAACATTCCTTCATCCTGTGATCAACTCGGGTGGGAGAATCGCCTGAGACAGTACCCCCACACTGAGTCTCCCTCTGCCCGATCTCCAGTACATCCTCCCAGATCAAAGTAACAGAAGACATGCCTCTTCTACCTTCACTCCCCACTTACATCCATTCACCAGTCAACAACTAACACCTCCTGAGTTACTATTAAACCTTTAAACGACATATTGTTTTGGCGTGGTCTTTACTAGTGAATGAACAGCTACCACATTTTTACCATAGTGATATCCTTTCTGTTCTCCTCTGGTTCCTGTAATTAATTTTGAACCGCTCAAAGTATTTCGACCAAAAATAAACTGGTTTGAAGAAGAGCAAACCGTGGCGACAATAGTGGGTGTGTCACTAATAGTCCATGCTTGTTTTTTGGTTAAAAAAATATAATGTCCTAACAGCTAACAGGTTATCAATGCAATGCCCTATTTTGCTACTAATGTTCACTTCAACTGTGCAGTGCCCTCCGCTGACGACCAATTTTGGTGGTAATGCAATACAAAAGTAACTCCTTACAGCAATATAATATGTTTTAGCAGTGACAAAGTAATGTCACGCATTACCAACAGGATAACGTACTGCGTTACCATCCGAAATGTACTGTTTAATGTTTTAATTTTTCATTTATCCACACTGGTCCAAACCGCTCCACTTCTACTGTGTTGTCATGTCATAACAGACTACATTATAGAAGGGTGATAGTGATCGGCACATCTGGGTGATGTCATACTGCATTATCATGTTCAGTGTGTTTCCATTAGTACACCTGCTACGTCTAGAAACATATCCCATTCTGCCTTCGCATTGTAAGGCTGCTAGAAAGCAGTGGGGATAAGTAGCTGGCCTTCAGTTTGTATTTTTTTCCTCATCCCAATGATCGGCACATCTGGGTGATGTTAGTATATGTTGGATGTGTTTCTATTCATATCTCTTACAACTGCAGAGCAGCACCAGCACACAGTCCTGTTCTTTGCATAACTCTCTCTCCTGTGCTGTTGTAGCTGATTGGCACACTGGGAACCAGCAGGTGGGTCCTCCAGCTCCGGTAGTATTAATTTGCGCGCGTCACAGTGACCTAATCGCACGCCATTCCGTTCGTTGTGCTGACCTCAATATTTGTTTGTTGTGTTTCATATCATATGCCCACAAATATTTATCCATATCTCATAATTATCAGACTGTGATCCTCTGTGAACCTCCATGTGTCCAAGGATATTTAATTGTTCTATATCATCACGCTATTACTAATTTAAGCAGGGATATTAATACACAGTGGTAACCACTGTATGTGAATGCATGAATGGGTCAGACCTGCAGCACTGGATCTGAAATGAACTGTAATAAAAGCTTCTGTGCTGTGATTATCTGCTGTGAAACAGCATGACCCTCATCCATTTAAAATGAACATTAGCTCTTCTGAGGTCATTTTTGGTGACAGTAACGTCTTACTCTAAAAAGAGAGTAAAATTGTAAAGTAACTGATTACTTTCAAATGAAAGTAAGATGTAATATATTACATTTTCAGAGTAACTTGCCCAACCCTGTTGATGAAACATCCTTGATTGTGACAGTTCTTCTGGAAACTGGTGGAAAGAGAGAGAGGTATGAGATTCCCTAGTTAGGTGCAGAGAGGGTTCATGTTGACGTGTGAGGCATCAGTCATCATCTGCAGGACCTTAAATTGACGTCAGAGGCTGATGTGATTTGATCCCTGCCAGACCACAATAAGAGAGGTAAAACTGGGGTATGGCATTTCAAACCAAGGTGCAGTTATGAGGCATGTTGTCGGAAAATCAATCAGATGTCGGAGCTTCTCAAAACAGTGCCTGCTCACAGCTGCGTTATCACATTATGTAAAGTCGTAATTGTTCACTGTGATGGATCAGCTATCTCAAGCATGTTTCAGGACATAATATCTGCCTGGAAGGTCGGGAATCAGTTTAGAAGTGAATTAAATATTTTGGAAAACGGTCAACAGTAATGCAACTTATGTAGCTAAAACATACTGAACTTCCTGTATGGTCCCTTATGCTCCACCAGTCAGATCAAAATAAACCTCGATGCACCTGTGGCCTCATCTTGAACTCTGCATCACAACTAAATGACAATTTAACACTGAGTATGGAACACTGAGCTGCGAAGGAGAAAAAAACGTCACTATAATCAGAATAATTCACGAATATGACGACAAAATCAAGCCTTGAGGTCACTCCTGAAATTTAAAATCAAGTTATATGAGCCTTGATTTTGAGCAAGAAGTGACATGCTCAAGTTTTGATTTCATGTCTTCAGTTTAAATCACATTGTTGGTTATGACCCGATGGCACATGGAGTGAATGGGATGGAGAAGAAGAGGAGGGACTGTGGTGAGTTGGGATGATGCTCCGCAAACACACTGATATCAAATAAGAGTTTGTTCAGTCCTGATGAGTATAACCTGTGTTCCTACTAAAGAATTTGGGGAATAATTAGGCCAAAATTGATGCATAATATGAAGTATGAGCTGCATCTGTGCAGAAATATTAGGTGTCTTAATATCCCCCCTCAGGTCGCCCTCTAGCACAGACAGCAGGAGGTGGTTTACTGCTGTTGACACTGATTTGTAGGGACAAATTTGGTTGTAGCTCCCAAATCGGCTCCCTTCTATATCACATGTGCTATTGGCTCAAACATCGGTGAGAAATCACCCAGACGGGGCGAGTATGCTGCTGCCGAACAGAAGCAAGTGCAGCAGAGAGGGCGAGGAGTTGTGTTTTCATAGTGAATCAGAAGTTTTTAAATAGAAGCTATAATCCTCTTTTCTCCTGTGTGACTCATTCTCCTCCATGGAGGTAGGGAGTTGTTAAGCAGCATCCATTTGGACACAGATGGAGGCCAAAAAAGACGCATGTTACAGATGAGCTGTTAATGAGCTGTAAGTGAATGAGAGATGGCTAGTGACAGAGGAATCAGTGTTATATTGGAGTTAATGTTATATTGGATGTGAAGCTCTGGTGACTCAGTCCAGCCCCTCTGAGGCACTGCTCTGGGGCGGGAGCAACCCTCACTCCCCTCCACTTTTTGGGGACCCCAGGAGGCCCCTGTGTCTCTGTATATTACTGTTCCCACTGCACGCACAGAATCCTTCACCTCCACGTTGCGCACGGAGGGGTCTGGGGCGGCTTCAGGCCAGTCAGGCAACTCCTGGTAGCCGCCAGCCTTGGCATTCAGCAAGTGGGACAATGAACCCAACTGGAAGTGGTCTCGATCTGCAGAAGCACAAGAAAAAAAAAATCCAGGATGACTTGTAAAATTTCAAATTTGTAAAGCATGGATTTGGTTTATTTTCATTGGTTAATATTTGTAGAGACGTACAGCCCAGCGGCCAATAAGGCATTTATGTTTCTACACCAAAGATGCAACCAGTAAGTACAATGTGGCCATGGAGTCACTAAGTTAGCTGCGGTTATTCCACAGGCTAGTTAATAACATGTCGAGCAGGAAATCCAAAGTGTGGGATCATTTTGAGAAGGTGAAGGACGAACCCAAGGTGATATGTAAACTCATCTTCATTGGTCGACTACAAACATGACATATCATCTGAAACATAGAAGTAGCTACATGCCCATTAGCCCACAGCATCATTAACAGGCGGCTCGCTCAGTGTGTGACGTGCACTTGTAGATAAAATATAGGCCTATATTAATGAAGGTTCATTAGTATGGTTTTGTATTTCTCTGTAATGTAGCACAGTGTTAACAATGTTACTGATACTATTCTTTCTCACACCTTCAACTCAAACCATTGTGTTGCCCCACCCAAAATGTATAACGGGTATATGACATGTAACCACTTGGCTATATGCACTCTGTCCCAGTACAGTTTGAAAACCTCTACACTAGACCAGTGCTGGCGATGATATAACTTGTTATTACATGAATACTTAATCTAGTTTTAATGGTTAGTAGAGACTCTTAAACTTGAATTTCATTAAGAGATACGAGCCCCAAATGTAAGTCCTAAAGGATATTACAAAAGTTGTCAATTTCTTAATAGAAATGTCAAGAAAATCTAAAATAAAAGATCAAGAACCAGATAAAAACCCTCCTCGCTGATCAGAGCACATATCTGAGTAATCTTTGTTTCAGTGTTCTTGGTTATCTTAACAATTTGGGACTGTGTTAGCTTTCCACTCTCTCAAAGCTTTATGTAAACAGCTTCCATACCTTTAAATGGAGACTCGAGCACTGGTGCAGGCTTGAGGGCGAGGAACAGTTTCTTAGCGTACTTGCTGAGAGCTCCACTCTTCTCAGTGGGCACGATGAGCTGGCGGATGAAGCGTGCCCGATCACGGATGTCATAGTTCTGGTCATACTTGGCCAAATTGAGAACGTACTGCGTCAACAGTTTGGTCTGTGAGAAGACGGAATATAAAGGATATGTAAGATGAGGATCATATAAACAATTATATCAAAACACTGCATCAGGTAAGTGGTTGATAGTGTCACTAGGTGGTTGCTGTCGTCTCTCAAGATTTTTGGATGTTGCTAGGTAGTTGCTAGAGTGAATTAAAGGGTTGCTAGGTGGTTGCTATGGTGTTCTGGGTAGTTAGCAGTGTCAGGGACCATTGATCAACTGAGACAGCGCACTTTAGATTAATTTCCTGCATCTGTGTCACGTGGGTTTCACCACTGCCCCGCCCCTTTAGGAGACTAGTTGTGGCCCTGAGTCTTTTCATTCTAATAAGACAAGTGAACGTGAGTAAGTATTATGACCAATTCTCTGCGGTATAGTCACAGAAGTAAATACTGGACACAGTTTTCACAAGCCACATATCTTCCAAACATTCTGACACTAAAACTGCATTTTTCAGAAAGACAAATCAGGAAAAAATTAATTTAGTTTGAGACACATCTCCGTCTCAGCAACAGACTCTCATGAATTTGGCAACACAGAATCTCTTCTTTCTGTGGTGCTGAACCATCAGTCTGGTTTCACTGTAGTGCTGCCAACGTCACTTTCCAACTGCATGAAACAGAAATTGAAATAGATTTATGTGTGAAACTATGAATTAAAATGAAAACTGAAATAAAACTTGTGTTTCTTGGCTTGATAATTTTATTACTGTTGTTATTAAACTGTTTTTTGGAGAGGGAAGAGAGAACGTTACTAGGACAAATTAGAGAGTTGTAAGATGCTTACTATGTATCTACAAGTAGTAAGCGGCAGTGGTGGAAAGTACATTTACTCAAGCACTGTACTGAAGTACAATTTTGAGGTACCTAATTCGACTAATTCAATTTTATGCTACATTATACTTTTACGTCACTAAAATTCAGATGTAAACATTTTACTTTTAGGCTGCTTTCAGACCTAGAGTTGTCTTACTTTGGTCTGAATCAGGGACTCATTTTGTTAATAAGTTCTATAATTGCCTAGAGTTGGTTCATGTTCTCACGGCAGCATTTACAACCAGATCAAATGCCTTGTGTGAGAAAGCTGCTCTTGATTGGTCAGAATCTTGGAAAAATCCAGGAAGTAAACCAAACGTTGAAGAAGAGTACACTTGCAAGATAAATGTGACACTTTCTAATGTCACAATGGAGGGACAACTACGCAGGTTGATTTTAGCGCTGCTCATTGTGGACTATATTGCTGTCATTGTTCATTTTAGACAAACCATACAGTTTGAAAACGAGGCGCGGCTCCAACTAGAAAACAATGTTTTGATGCATTGGATGTGCTGAATGTGCATATTAAGGCAGTACAGGAGGAGGTGCACATTAATAATCCTCCAGGACTGTAACATGCTCATGTTTAACCCAAACAACGTGTCATGTGACTGCAGTTGGTTCAGATACAGGTCGGAACACGTTCTCACCACAAATTCAAAAACTAACATCTTTTTGCTTCAGTGATGTTTTGACACTGAAGCTTGGTGGCACTGCACACACTGTTGACAAGTTAAAGTTTTACGCTCTAATCACAGAAAACACCATTCATACCTGTTTAGAGTTGGTGAGATAAAGCTTGGCGGCCAAATTGATGATTTGTAGCTTGACAATGTCCTCTTCACAGGTGAACGACTTGGCCATCTTCCTCAGGACATCTGGGGCAATCTTCGGTACATGCTCACAATATTCTCCAATCAGCCACAGGATGCTGGCCCGCGCCATCGGCACCTGAGAACAATTACAATCAAATCAAATGATTGTGTTTGGGTTTTGTCAGGATAAACCCCCATTTGGCAAGCTTGTTTTAATACCACAACCCAGGAGCTTTTAAATGTAAAATTAAAATCCAAAAGGTAAAACTCTGACATTAAGGGAGCGATCACACCGAGATGAAACGCTAGAAAGGCGACGCCAGTAAAACCATTGTTTTCCTATGATACGGCGCGTCTGACCGCTGTTCAAGCGTCTTTTTAGACAGGCATTTTTCTGGCGTCTTTTTAGATGCTTCTTTTTAGACGCTCGTCTAAAAATGAGCGTAGATGCTGAAAAGTCAAAATATTTTCAACTTTTTTCAGTAGCTAGCACGCATTGAATAAGCGCTTCTAGTGTTTCAAGCGTCTTTGAAGCGTCCGCGTCTCTTGCATCTAATTTCTGTGTGATCACCCCCTAAAGCTTCTGGTTTCAGTTTGTAAATGAGACGCTCACCTGGATGTTGTCTGTTAGTTTCGCCATGTGCTTTATGATGTCACTGTGCTTCTCTGGTTGCATCTGCAGCAGCTTCTTAATAACCACCACAGACTCAGCTACAACCAGCTCTGTGCAACAGGAGGAGGAGTCATAAGTCATGAATGAACACTCAATATGTTTTCCCTTATCATCATCCTAGAATGAGGTATTAAAATTTAAATTCATTCCCTTACTCACTTAAGGTAACAGGTTGTCTAAAATGTATCTTCTGCTGCTTCTTTTCCACTGAGGTAAAGTATATTTCATAATTTACAAACGCAAATGAAAAAGCTTGATTAAATTATCATATTGACCTGATTTCCGATACTGTCTGCCACAACAATTTATTCATTCTACTCTTTATATGTGTCTCAAGTGTCACATAAACAGACTCACCGTCTCGGTTGGACAGCAGCTGCACCAGGCCGTTCAGACACGTGTCCCTCACCTCGCCGATATTAGTAGCACAGCGGCCAATGGCTTGGATCGTGGCGGCCACAAAGTCTTTATCCATGCTTTTAATGTACGTCTGCCAGAAATACGTGTTCACTCAGTACAATATTACAGAAAAGAAGATGATGAATCCTGATTAAAGAGAAAATTCTCTCTTCACAGAGCGTTTCACCGTACCTGAAACTCTCTGAGGATGGTGGAAATGTTCGTCTCATTGGCCAGATTGGTGAGAACCTCCAGCTGCGATACACAGAAAAAAACCTTTTTGAACACTGCAAACACAGTTTAAAAGTGAAATACAAACAATGTTTACTGTAATTACTGTGTAGCTTTTTCCTTTAACAAGATTTTACTGGAACCTGCACCAAAGACTGTGATTTCACTGGTAAAATTGTACTTTTTTCACATTCATGTTCTCATCTTAGAAACTGTTTCACTCCAATTCATAGGAGTTGATTCGTTAACTCAGCGTAAGTGGGTTTAAAGGGATAGTGCACCCAAAAATGAAAATTCAGCCATTATCTACTCACCCATATGCCGTGACCGTGAGACATGGGCACCGCGTTCATGAGTGTGGCTAAAAACAGTGTTCAAATGACGTTTTTCCAAACAACTTTTTATGTCGGGGCTTCAGGACACTTGGATCACTACAGACGAGCAGTATGGAGATATTTTGTGGTTTCAATTATGTGGTTTTGGACGTTTGAATCTGGGGCGCTGTCAGCCTCCATTAGGTGGAGTTGTGTTGCTACCCCCTCTCCCCTGGGATCTCCGCAAGGTATGTGAGGACTCTAAAACTTCACCTGAGCCTCCCTCGGCATATGGGTGAGTAGATAATGGCTGAATTTTCATTTTTGGGTGCACTGTCCCTTTAAGATGATTGTGGACAGGCAAAAGATGCTGGCTGCAGATATGCTGTATATTAAAGTATCATGCCTCAAGGCCCAAATGCACTGAAAGCATCTAACACATGTGTTTTGAAGTACACCTTTTGTTTTCAACAGCAAAACACGCACCCAAAGGGCTTTAAGATGCTCAAACTGCTTTGACGCCTCTACTCCAAACTTGTTATACTGCTGGTTCAGAGGTGTTGATATTTTATGCCTGCTGTGCACCATAGGAGCATCAAATGAAGCACGTCAATTATCACCCTCAGTGCATTTGGGCCTTAAAAGTCTTCCATTGATCCAGCATGAGGATTACAGAGAAAACAGATAGCAGCATAATTCTGACTAAAGCAATAAAATAGAATAGGAAAGAAAAGAACCTTGAGGACTTTTATCTGGGTCGGGTCTGTGGAGCGGATGTAGAAACTCTTCAGGTACGGTTCAAACATTCCCTGTGAAACACAAAGAACAGGAAGAAAAAAAAATCACTGAATTTTATAATTTCATTATCCACACAGAAACAACCAGAAGGTACCAACAGGTGAAGCTCACCCTTCTCTTAATCGTCATTGTTGCCACGTTCTGAAGTACGACATACTGGACCTCACTGGAGACAGAAACAGGAGAGATCAATGTAGGAAAATGAGCAGGATAGAAACAGATGTATTTAATAAAATGTCAGTCCCCTTTTCTCTCCTGTCCTTCCCTGCCTACTTATCCTAAGACACTGCAGCCATATTGGAGGTCCACAGCTTTTAACCACAGTGGTAATATTTCTTTGAATATAAAGAATTGAGAAAGCTTCATTTAAAGACAAATACTTAAGATGTCATCAGCTCACTAACATATCTGGGCACTACAACTCTCACTGTCTTGTTAATAATACATCAAATTTTTCAACTGGCTAACAAAAGATACCAATATGTTGCACTAAATTGGCAGTTTGTTCAGTGTTAATTTCTTTGATGAAATTTTTTTGTCAACAACCTTTTTTCCATGATGAAAATGAGACGATGACGAGCTAAAAATAGATTTCAATAACAAAAACTAAGACAAAATCTGTTTTATTTTCTTTGACGAGACGTGACGAAAATGCTAGTGGTGGATTATCAGACACCGAAAGCTGTGAACAGCTGTGCTTGTAATAATCTTCAAATGTCGCATGAGTGACAGGCTGGTAAACTCCAGTAAATAGTCTGCGCCAGGATGTTTAGCTAGCCAGCAAAAACACTCACAACAGAGCAGCATCAGCCATCAGTGCGAGTTGTGAGCTGTAATTCAGCAGTAAATAATCAGCTGTGTGTGTCTGGCTGTGGATGGTGGAGCTGCTGAATGGATTTGTGGAGTTTGTTAGGTAGCTGTTAGCAGCTAGCTCCACCTGTTAGCCATTGAATGGCAGCGGAGCAAACAGCCACCAGCTGCTGGATTTCATAGCTGATCCCCGCAGGACTCCCCTCAGTCTGGACTGTCTCTGTAAGGTTTATGGTTTGATACTGTTTGACAGGCAGGTAGGAGGCTCAGCTATCTGTGAGTGTAGCTGTGCTCTAAGTAAACACTCTGAACTCAGATTAATTTTCTCTGACAGAGGTGGAGTTTAGTTTTTAGTCGGTCATGTTGCCAATTAAGAAAGAATTCAGGCTTTAATTAAGTTATTTTTCTGCTTTTTAACAGTGAGATCAATCAGTCAGAGTTTACAATGAACCTGGGGACAAATCCTAATTGTCTCAGATTAGTTATTTGTGGTGTCAAAGTTTTTGAGAGCATAAATGGAGATGTTGAGCTTTTCAAATGACGAGCAGTATGTGTGTGTTCGTAAATCAGCCCTTAAACCTGTCAAACACTGATGGAGAAATGACAGTTTGTAAGTGTGCAGAAATTTTTTATAGTTGTAGAAAAAATGTGTCTTAATGAAATTTTTATACAAGCTGTGACCTTGATTCTAATTTCTAATACATGAATTAACCTCACTGGATTAGTTTAAAGATTAAAAAAAAGTTACTAAAATGTTATGAATTTTTTTGTTGACTAAAACTAGACTAAAACTATTAAGAATAAAAATGACTAAAATGTGACTGAAACTAATAGGCATTTTCGTCTAAATCTAAAATAGCTGTCAAAATTAACAGAGTTTGTTGGATTTGCTGACATGTAGCCTGTCTGAGTTACTTATTGGAAATGATATTAGCTAAGCGACGAATTAGAGATGCTGCTGCCAGATAGATGCAAAAACAAGCTAACTAGTTGTTGTAGCTCAACTTGTGTGAGGCAGCAGCAGCCTCACAATTACCTCTCATCTTAACCTTTCAGCTGTAATTCTTAGTCTGACATATGTGAAGTTACTCCCAGCTATCATATCTCCTACTTGGCAGAAAAGAATACAGAAGTGTCAGTCACAGTTAAACATGTGGCTACAAAGCCACAATCACTGGCAGTACCACACACAAAGAAACCCCAAATCAATAAGTATTCTGAATCTTAATTTGTTTTATTTCTCAGATTAAAATTCAATAAAAGTAATAGTTGTTTTTTTGTTGTTTTTTTAAATACAGACACTGAATTTAAAAAAGCAAACTTTTGATCTCCATGCAAACTGCAGGACATCTGCATTTATGCACATGTTCATTTGGATAGGTTTACAGGTGGTTTGCTACACAAACAAGTCCAATAAAATGCATTGAATACCCCCACTAACCTTCCTGTTGAACATCTAGGCATCATTCTTAAAGGTAGTGAACCGGTGTTGTAATTAGAGCTGAGACTCCATACAGATAATAAAGTCTAATGAAACTTATCATACGGTGCAACGTGTTTCTGATAAATCCCCCACAGAGCAATGCTGCTGTTTGGCCGCTACTGAGTGATGATCCCATTACAGCGCACGCAGAGCCACAAGAGCACTCGTTCAATAAGAAGCTGACAGTTTGCAGGACTTACAGGCGAGAGGCCGGCTATGTGCCGTCATCACTCCTTATGGTTTATGCCTTCATGTTTACCTCAGACTCGCCGAGCTCCCTGTTTAATTTCACTTCCTGCTTCAGGGCTACACAGATTTATTTTACTACCCTCACTTGTCATTTTTGTTTTGTTCTCGCACTGTTTTCCAGTTTGCTCAGTTCACAGTTTCCTCTTATCACAGTCAGCTGTGTATTTTTTGTTTTGTTTTTTCCTTTTCGACTGAGACTCATAAAGGCAGCTGTCATTTTCAACCTTAGCTCCATTTTCAGCCACAATAACACTGTGAGACGGCTCCTGCTGGTCTGACTACCGTTCCAAAAATATTTTCTGCCAACATCTATGGTACAGCAATCACAGCAGATGATTTATTTCAAATTACAGACACTTTAACTCACCTGTGGCTCCTTAGGAGACGGACCAGGGCCTTGGCGATCACCCCAACTTCTGCTTTAGGGGCAAGATGGAAATACAGCTGGGCCACAGCCATCACCACCTGGAACATGCAGAGGAAACAAATGGGGGGTTAAATCTTCACCAATCTCACGATATAAAATACAGTACACAGTTGCATGTATTATATCATCTGTCTGGGTGTTCAACTTTGTTCTCCATTGAGAATTCAGTCATTTTCAAAATGGCAGTCCATTACCATCACTGCCTTACATCGCCATACAGTATGTTGCAGTGCAGATGTAAAATGTGATGGATTTATTCTGCCAATGTTTTGGCCTCTAAGGTCCAAATTTCTTTTGGCACTGACTCATTCAAGCATTCAAGAGTAGGGGTTGTGTTTTTTAGGGCTTTTAAAGAGACAGTTCACCCCAAAATCAATAATATATATTTTCCCTCTTACCTGTAGTGCTATTTATCAGTCTAGATTGTTTTAGTGTGAGTAGCTGAGTGTCGGACATGTCAGCCATGGAGATGTCTGCCTTCTCTCCAGTATAATGGAACTAGATGGCTCTCAGCTTGTGGTGCTCAAAGAGCCAAAAAATAATTTGAAAAATTCAGCAGCAATGTCTCTTTACAAAAATCATGACCCGGTTACTCAAGATAATCTTCAGAACTTGTTATGAGCAGTTTCATGTAAAAACTTGTTCTACTATTACATGCTCTGTGATTAATTAATCTAAATTAATCGGGTACATCATTTTTTTTTACTGTGAAAGTATTTTTAAAAATTCAATTCAAATGAATTTTGGCAGATGTGTCGTAGTAAAGCTGCTGGATTTTGGACACAATTGTCCCCCTGTCCTCTACCACCCAAAGTGGACTGCAGTCCATTGCAATCCATTTTGCAAGAGAGTTAGTAAGTTGGTCACAGGTAGACTTACTATTACTTTGTGTCTGAACGCCTGGTCGAGTGTGGCTTAATGAGGGTGAATGTTAGCACTAGCATCAGAGGCTGTGCTAGCTTTGACAACCGGGTTAGCTGCTTTGCGTTGAGGTGATATTTTAGGATTGAAGTTCTCCAATGGTATGAAAATTCCTTACTGCAGAAATTGCATACTCCATTCACGGTGCCAAGCAGTATCGTCTTGAACTCTTGAACAAAAGCAAGTTCTTTTTTTCTGATTTCTCTGGTCATGTAGCACCAGTTTCAAAAAGTATTTGTGTCTTTCTACTGCACAGATGGCCTAGTTTTATGAGGAGACTATCTTTCCAGCAGTGAAATACTTCTTTAATATAATAATATTGGCCCTAGCTGCTTTAGGTAGCACCTGCAGTGAGAGTTTCTTACTTCCAGGTACTGAGTAGAGAATAACATAAACAAAATGAGAGCTTCAAACAGGCCCACAAGAATATAATTACTTTAAGACATCAGGGCAAATGGAACCATTTAAGGAACCGTTTATTAATTACTTAGCAGGTGCAAAACAATAAGCTGCATAAAGTGCAATTACAGAGCTCACTGATTGTCTGCTACACTACATGTAAGATAAGGAAACACATTAGTTGCCAGAGGAACAGGGTTAATATTGAACCGCCTTGAAGCAAACAGCTCGACTGCAGCAGAACAAAGGCAGAATAATGTGTGTCAAGGGAATTTTGTAACATCTAACACAGAACAAAGCAGGCCTTTCAAGGTGACCACAGCAGTTAGTAATGTGGTGCGATGCTTTATTAATTTCCTTTGGGAAATTGTCCCCATTTCAGAGTGAGAGGTCAGATCTGATTAAGTGCTCAAGGGCACTTCAGCTGCTTGTTAACATGAGCGAAGGTCGAGCATCTGAAGACCTCGACTGCTCACATCACCGGACCTGATGTTCAACATGGGATAACGTTGGAGAGAAATAATTATGATGTCTACCATGGCAACTGCCTCAAGAGGAGAGTTAATGGGCCATTATACTGATGTAAGGTGTGTGTATTATTCAGAGGCAGTGGTCTTACAGCTGCGTTGCGGCTCTGCAGGAGCGGCTTGGTGTTCCTCAGCAGCAGCCGGTGGTCTGGATCCATCACATACGGCTTCCTCTTGGCCATGGTGGTCGCCTCTGCCTTCTTTTCTTTCTCCTCCTCGTCCTCGTCCTCATCTTCATCTGAGCCGTAGAAGGTCTTGTCGCTTCCCTCCTCCAGTAGGGACTCCTGCTGAGACAGTGAGGATTAAACAGTGTGTTCAGGGACAAACCGTGCAAAACAAAAATCTCTCTGGCTTTGAGAGAAGTTACTGGCTGCTTAAAAAGTCTCTAGAAGTCACCAGATGGTAATTTGCTCTTCAAAAAGCACTGTATGAGAAGCATCATTAGACATCCTCGCGTCAGAGAAACATGCAGTGAAAAATGGTTCCACCAATTTGTCACCACATGCATTGGAAATTACCAAAACAACAATGTTCATCGCGGTATGAAAAATGGCTCAATTTGTCGCTGGTCGTGTCCAGAAAATAAGTTGACAGGTGGGCTTGAAAAACTGATAAAAATAAGACAAGCAGAATCACCAAGCTGGCAGCAGTGAATGAGGAGAAACAATGACAGGATGGTTTCAATTTGTACCTCTGCACAGTCACAATGGCAGAACAGCATGAATAGAAGTTGTGCACCTACACGCTTTTGTTGCACAGTAATCTCTACTAATTCTGTTCCTGCAATTAATTCCTTTGCTTTTATATATTTATTTTTTCTGTAGCTTTCCAGTTGTGTTACTGATGTACACAAACCTGTAAAGTCAAATACTTGTCGAAGTTCCTATGTTTAAGCGTCAAAATGCATGTTCAGGGCGCCCAGTAGCTCAACTGGTAGAGTGGGCGCCCCATGTACAAAGGCAATATCCTTGCTGCAGTGGCCGTGGTTTCAGTTCTGACCTCTGGCCCTTTGCTGCAAGTCGTCCCCTTTCTCTCCCCCTTTCAAGCTCATCTTGTCCCATCTAATAAAAGCCATAAAAATTATCCTAAAATAAGCACCATGTTCCACGTCCAAGCTAACACTTTTCTCACTCTTCAACTGACATTGTCAGCAAATGGCAAGTGCGTAGGGTGAGAGGTAGGGAGGGGCATCAGCGCTGTGACCTTTGTCACTGCTTTTTTGCTTACGGCTAAGTGGGAGTTTCCATTTGAAAAACACAGCAAAGAAAACAGATGATCCACCCTTTAAACAATTAAAGCAAATGGTCTTTTATGTGATCAAATATACTTAAATACTACAGTGTACACAGTGTGTCTGTAAATGGCACAAGGTACACATAGTAGTAAAACAGTGGAGTGGAAAAGATATGGTAAATATGACTGTGCGAGCAGTGGCACAGTGCAAAGTAGTATTAAAGCTTTATTTGCTAAGAGTTGGTTGTGATGCTGAAATAATTCATTGATTAACTGACTAGTCAATCCACCAAAAGACAGTTAACAAATATGATAATGGATTCGTCTTTAAGATTAACTTGCAGGGAAAATTAAACAAAACTAGAAATGATCACCCTGTGGTTGTATGCCCTTCGTGAACCTGTCAAGTTTCTCTTACAGTTTACATCCATGTCTGTGAAAACATGGATGCTTCACACACACCTTCCCCATGGCAGCACAGATCTATACAATTAGCAGTTTCAAGGTGGACACCCAAATTTAGAATCACCAGTTCAGTATCTGACCAAATGTGTCCCCTTCTGTTTCTGAGTTATGATGCTGAATAATGGACAGAAAAGTGTTTTTGCAGAACATTATGATGTCACAGTGAAGCTGACCTTTGACCTTTTGGATACAAAATGTCATCACTTCATCATTATATCCTGTTAGACATTTGTGTGAGATTTTGTCAGAATTAGCAAACGAATTTCTGAGTAATGGCCCAAAACATGTTTTGTGAGGTCACAGTGACCTTTGACCACCAAATTATACGCAGTTCATTCTTGAGTCCAAGTGGATGTTTGTGCCAAATTTGAAGAAATTCCCTCAAGGTGTTCTTGAGATACTACGTTCATGAGACTGAGAAAGACAAGGTCACAGTGACCTTGATCTTTGACCTATGACCACCAAAATCAGTAAATCCTTGAGTCCACGTGGACATATGAGCCACATTTGAATAAATTCCCTCTAGGTGTTCTCTGACCTCTGTCCACCAAATTCTAGGCAGTATATTACTCAGTCCAAGTGAACGTTTGTGCCAAATTTGAGGAAATTTTCTCAAGGCATTCATAAAATAAGATGAACACTAAATGTTTGTGCCAAATTTAAAGAAATTCGTTCAAGGTGTTTTGGAGATATCACATTCATGAGAATGAGACAGACGGAGTCATAGTGGCCTTGACCTTTAACCTATGACCACCAAAATCAGTAAATCCTTGAGTCCACGTGGACATATGAGCCACATTTGAATAAATTCCCTCGAAGTGTTCTTGACTTATCACGTTCACAACAATGTGGACGGGCAACCTGTAAACATAATGCCTCTGGCCGAGGCTAACACCAGCATGAGGGCATAAAAATAACTTGTTCCAGCTTCACAGATGGGAAGTTTTCGCTGCTTTTTGTGTTTATTTCAATGTAATTTAAATATTTGGGTTTTTTGGACTGTTAGTCAAACAAAATAAGCAATAAGAAATTGAAATGAGCATTTTTTTTCACTATTTTTTGTCATTTTATGAACTTAATTATTAATCAATCAAAAAGAGAAACCAAAATGCACCAGAGTCATCATTAATGAAAATGATTGCTGGTTAATGCACTAGTTGTTACATAACTCATCAAACTGGCAGAATAAGAAGTCTGACATGAGTTTTATCACTACAGCATAAATAAATACTTAATTTTTAATATTTCCCCAAAAACACTTTTGGACGACTGTGCTGATTCTGTGTGTGTTTCTTACTCACATTCATGTTTGGGTTGAGGAACTGGGTCCTGGCGTAGCGAGTCAGCATGTTGATGATGACGACCTGCCCCCACTCCTCCACGTCGATCAGGAGGTTACACAGCTTCCTGTAGTTCTTGTGGATCAGGTCAATGCGCTCCGGACACACCTCCTCGAAAGCCATGACAACACTTCCTGCCACCAGCTGCAGCACACAACAGGTGGTAATGTTACCATCATGTTCTTAAATGTCAGGAGGGTACAGGTTGTCTGTGAGGATCACTGAGGCACAAAATGAGATCCATGTGCTCTCAAATTACATTTTAAGTTAAACAATAAACTTTTTGTGGACGTTACAATACATCTTATGCAACAACTGCCAGGTGAAGAGGGAGACTGGTTAAACAAATGATGAGCCTTGAAACAACTGAGGCAGTGAATGCAATCTGGTCACTGTGCACAGATGCTGGTTTTCATAATTTGTTCACTTTATCAAACTGTTATTTCCATTTGTTAAAGAATAAATAAATAAATAAATAAATAATGAATGTGGTGGAAAACATGCTGGATCAGTGGTGCAAACACCCACCGTGGTTTTATCAGCGAGGAGTTTCTCTATGACTTCAATCAGCTGGTCCTTTTGTTCTGGATCCAAACTGAGAGCAGAGGAGAATAAAATCATTCACATGCATGGAACATGAAATGCTGGAGAAAAAAAGTCACCAATAATTTGATCATAAAAAAAAGACGCTACTAATGGATTTTACTGACAGAGTGTTGGATTTACCTTTTACTTACATTTTTCAGTGACACTAAGTCATAACAAAATTTGATTTTGGCATAGTGGTTCTCTAACTGAGGATCAGGACTCTAATATGCTGCAGGCTCAAAAATTCAGATTTCTAACTTATGTATTATTTATGCTTCTTTTAATCCTTCATATAAAGACTCAAGCAGCCTCATCTGTAACTAGACGGCATATTTAATAAGTACTAATGAGTGAAATAATAAATCTACCTAACTGCCTTTACACTCAGAACAGACACTCAGGAGCCTGAGATCTGAATAAATTACCTGTAGAGTTTAGGAATTGCGTGAGCAGCCGTCTTCCTGACGTATGGAGACATATCAGAGGCAGCCTCTTTGATGGCCAACATCATTATGGGGACGATGATGGTGACTCGGATGCTGGAGAGGACTCGCAGAGCGCTGGCTCTGATCAGCTGGTTTGGATCCTGCGAAAGTAAAAAGCAAATATTTCAAAAGCAATACTGTCATCTGCTAAGAGTCTGTAGAGACAGAACTGTACTTCAGCTACGTTAAATGTTATGCACCACATATCTGGAACAAACTCCCAGAAAATTGCAGGTCTGCTAGAACACTAAGCTCTTTTAGACCAGGAATGAAGACTTTTCTGTTTGCCACTGCCTTCTATTAAATCAAATATTTATTCTTTCCTTACACTGCAATGTAACCTTTATCCTTGTATTCTACACCTGTATAAGTATATTATAGCTTGTTTTTATTTAATGGTGTTTTAAGTCTATAGCAACTTGGTTGGGAACCAGAGGGTTGCCGCCCCAAGTCCCCGTCTGATTGTGGAAGGACTGTGACACCAGCATTGGCTATCCATGGAGCCAAGCTGCCAGCATGGCCAAAAACATAGAGTAAATCTTTATTTCATCACAACATCAGTCCCCAAAGTTTTGATAAATGTTTCTTTCTGTTATAAAATGTCGTCACTTATGAAAGCTGCTGTACCTTCAGCCCTCGCTGAAAAGTGGAAATGGAGAGCAGAGCGAGATCCTGCTGCTCCTCGGCATATCGCACCAAGTAAACATAGACCAGCTTCTTCACCTGTAGAGAGGAGCAGTAGGGGGGAAACACGCAACAGATTTCATCCAAATTATGTAGATTAGTTCAATTATTTCCACTGAGATAAATCTGAAGCAAAGAGGAGAGAAAAAATGCAATTTTGTTCAGGTGAGATAAAGCCAAACCCCCCAGGGCTTTTAAAAATGTGATAAGTTGATGCATAAATTACAAGCTAAACAAAAAACAGCCTTAATGCAGAGAGAAACCGTTTTTTACCACATATAACTACACACAGTGAAGAAAACGAGCAACTAACACATGAAGCCAAGTTCATAACAAACCTCAATGTTTTTGCAGGCCACATTTTTCACCACAGCAGGGAAGAGATCTGATGCATTTTTACCTCGGGCGATCATCTGCAGAGAAAACACACACCGGAAAGCAAAACAGAAAATCAGCAGCGAGGATTTGACAAGGTGACATTTTTCAATCATTTCTAAGAGAAGGTGCAACTTTTTATTTTTTATTCCAGCCTCCTTTTTTTTCATGCTTTCCTTCCTTTCTATCTTCTCAGTCCTGTGGGGAGGAAGAGATGGGTGTGGAGCTTCAGATTATGAAATATGAATATTTAACAGCTGACTGTGCAGTTTGTATCTCCAACCACTGTTGTTATATCGTCTAAAACTGCCCTTGTCTCATAACTGAAGAATATTAAGTCTCAGGATCTTAAATACAGTTTTAGTGTGTGTACAGAACGATGGCACAGCCCAGTCGCCAGAAGTAAATGTTGGCACTGTTGGCACACAAAACCAGGTGCTTTTTGCAACCTGTCCCTGCAATTCCTGCTGCGATAGTGCAGTGAAAAGCGGTTGTGTTTTTATTGAGACACTGCTGCGTTTCCAGCTGAGATAGTATCACGAAAACCAGTTACTTTTTACCAAGAAATTGCTGCATTTCCAGACAGGATGTTGCCACAAAAGTGGTTGCTTTTTACAAAGACATCACTGCATTTCCAGCTGAGATAGTGTCACGAAGAACAGATGATTTTTACCAAGAAACTGCTGCGTTTCCAGCTAGAATAGTGCCACCTAGCAGTCGTTTTTCACTGAGAAATCGCTGCGTTTCTTGCTGGTATAGTGTCACAAAAAACAGTTGATTTCTATCAAGAAAATTGCTGCATTTCCAACTGAGACAGTTCCACAAAAGCAGTTGTTTTTTTTTTCTCAAGACATCGCTGCGTTTCCAGCCAAGGTAGTGTCACAAAAAACAGTTGATTTTTACCAAGAAATCTGCCGCCTTTCTAGCCAGGATAATGCCACAAATGTGGTTGCTTTTTACAGAGACATTGCTGCATTTCCTGCTGGAATGGTGCCACAAAGCAGTTGTTTTTTATCAAGACATCACTGTATTTTTAGCTGAGACAGTGTCACAAAAATTGTTAATTTTTACCAAGAAACTGCTGCATTTCCAGCTGGGATAGTGTCACAAATGTGGATGCTTTTTACAGAGACATTGCTGCATGAGATAAAAGCCATTTTTAAACAGGAATTGTGCAAATTTGCAGGAAAGCCCAATCAGTCTTCTTTCAACATTGGCAGTATAAAAACAAAATTGGGGAGTGCGGCAAAATGCCGCCTACCTACTTTTGTTCATACAGAATGTGCCTTTTTCGGGGCAATGGGGGGCGTGAGAAAGTAACAAAACGTGTAGCTCAGCGTCACGTAAACAATTCTGCGATTCTCTCGTAAGTTGGCCCATCTATCATCATCCCCGTCATCTGACGGTTAATGGCCTCTTCATTTGCGAGGGCAAGGAGGGCGCGCAATTTCTTGTCTCCCCAGCTGCTCATCTTTACAGTGTCTGTCAGGTTTGCGTTTCCCTCTTGCTGCTAGCTGCTCATTAATTCTTGCTATCAGCTGTTTCCTGTTTATCCACCGCCAGTGGCTCGCACGTGCGGCGTCATCCCCTTATGCCCACAAGTCTTCAACAGCCCCTCCCGTGGCAGAAGGGCGCCTCGTTCTGTTTAAACCTAAAAGGTTGCGCCAATATGTCTACCCTACGAGGCGGAAAACTGGGCGCCTCGGATCAACTTGCCAATCCGGCTCTGTGTGTCTAAACGCTCGCAGCTTGCCGGCAAAACGGCCCAACATTCGCAGAAAATCGCAACCGTGCACTTACTGGCGGGCGCGTCCTGAAGACCTGTGTGAATTTTCCACAGGAGATATTTTTACTTTTTTGTCTATTCAAGAAATTACCCACAAATGCTCTACACCAAGAATTATTATTTTATTTATCTGTGTTTTTATTTATGTCTGCCTTTTTTACTTATTTATTTTAATAGTGTACCTGAAGTTATATTTGAGCAAAAAGGAAAATGTTTCTTAACATGTGTCACTGTTTTTGTTTGTTTGTTTGAGATGATTATTGAAAAGCTGGTTGTATCTTGGTTAAAATGTTCTTATATAGGCAAGATAGAAAATATTGCAATATCTTGTGTGCTGTAAGGTGGTTTGAAAAAAATGAAATCGGAATCGGCCATCCAAACACTCTGGAAATCGGAAATCGGTATCGGTCCAAAAAATTGTAATCAGGGCAAGTCTAGTTGTTTTTAACCAAGAAAATTGCTGCGTGGGTCGCCCAGTAGCTCAGTGGGTACAGTGGGCATCCAACGTACAAAGGCAATGTCCTTGCCGCAGCAGCTGCAAGCTTGATTCCAGCCCATGCCCCCCTGCTGCATGTCATTCCCACTCTCTATTCCCTCTTCAAGCTTGAAACTGTCTTTTCTGTCTTGTGTGTTTCATGATACTCATGAAACACACAAATGTAACATATCTGTGGTTTGCAGAAATGCACAATGCCAACATATATTGTGGTGACTCCAACTCCAACCAAACTCGAAATGATGCAAATCAAATTTGGTACACAGAACAAGCTCTGGGTCTGTACTGTGGTCGGGACTGTTTAAAAGTGATGCATGCTGAGTTGTACAAATGACAACTTTCCATGCCTTTGTCCTTCCAGTCAACGTGCAGCCGTACCTGCTGATCAGTGAAATCCCAAAGTAAACATTTATACTCACAGCCACGATGCGCTTCATTGCCTCCAGCTTCAGCGAGTCTTTGTTGCTGTCCAGCATCTCCTTCAAGTCGTCATGTCTAAAAGAGGAAAACACTGAAAATCAGTTCACAGCTTTTTATTTTGCTTATTTGTTTTAGCAGCACAGAAACAGCCAAAGTCTGATTACCGAGGCCTCAAACAAGAAGCACAGACCTGTTTAAGGATTTCCATTCTATGCTCAAAATTTATCAAGTCTCCAAGTGTGACCCAGAAATTATTCTCTTTGAAGTGTGAAACTCACCCTGCAAAATGTGGAAAACCTTTGAAACTGCAGCTCATAAAAGCGGGGTAATTGGAAAGTGACATAATCCCTAAAACATGTTGACTGCTCTGAGAAATTACACAGATATTTTTGCAGGAACGGGGGAAGAAACTTTCCTCTATCAGACGATGTGACCCAGCACGACTGTAAATCAGCCAGGAGGTCTTTTAGTATCACAGAAGCTCAAGTCTTTATTATTTAGATAACTCAATAACTACCACTGTGGGAATGCAGAAATGATTAGTCGATTGACTGAATAATTAAATACCAAATATTCAGATTATCAATTAATTGTTCAAATCATTCATCAAACACAAATTTACAACAGTGTTTGTTCCAGCTCCCTAAATGTGAAGATTTTTCTCTTTTTAAATCATTATATACTGAATATCTTTGTGGGAAACAATCAGTTAGAAGATGTCACCTTCAGCTTTAGGAAATATGTTTGCCATTTTTCACTATTTTCTGACAATCAATTGATTAACTGTCAGATTGAGCTGCAGATGGGCTGTACCAAATGTCCCTGTTTTTCACATTTGAAGCTTCTACTGAAGTTTTTCAAATGAGGCTACAAACGTCTGTCATCATATTTTATGACTTCATAGCCCGAAAAGAAAAATATCATCAAACAAAATCCTCATTTAGAATAAAGTGGTTTGTCAGATTATATGAGTTATTCTTTATTTTTCTCATTAAAGCAACTTTATTTAACAAATAAATGTAATTTATGGTGCTGTTAGATTGCAGCTTTGGAGCGTCCTGTTAATACAAGTGCATTTTGACCGCAGTGCAAATGTTGGTGTTGGAAGGCTAAACGCCAACAAATATGGATTAAAGCAGAATATTCTTCCAGATAAACACGTCTGATTATTTCTTTTAAATGATTATATTTATCTTTTTTCCAATGAATGTTGACTTTTGGACTTTACAATGCTCTGGAGCATGACAATGCAAATGATGGGATCACACGGGTCAAAAACAATCCTACGCTGTTAACACTGTAATTCTACAAAAAGTACCAACTCATAATATTCTTGCAGCCTAACTGGTGGTGCAGTGGTGAGCACAGTTGCCTCACAGCAAGAGGGTTATGGGTTTAAATCCACCAACTGCTGACCACCTGTGGAGTTTACATGTTTTTCCAGCTTCCTCTCACAATTCAAAGACATGCAGGTTACTTGGTGTCTACAGGTGTGAATGTGATCGTGAATGGTTGTCTGTCTCTATGTGTGCATTCCAGTACCCATACTACCATACTACATAGTATGCGAGGGAAAGATTTAGTATGTCCTAATACATAGTATGTCAAATGCAGTACACCAAAAATACCAGGATGTTCTACTACATCTGGGCCGATTTTGCAGTCTGCCAGCCAGCACGTTTCTGGCTATTCTGACTCACAATCCTCTGCACAGCGGACGATACGTCACATCAGCTGAGCCGCAGACAGATAACAGCTTTTTGACAGCTGATCGACAGCTGTCAGAGGTTCGCAATGATGGATGACAGTGCATTCAAGCAACTGATGACCAGTCGAATATTAATAACAAGACTATTAATTGTTTAAGTGAACAAAATAATCATAAATATTACAAACAACAAAAAGACATAACTATAAAAATAACAATGACAGAAAACTGCAGATGTAATTTCACTGTCACAAGTATGTTAGAATCTACAATCTGTGCAGTTATAACTTCAAAGTTAAACTACACACATTGCAAAGTAACAACAGCAGAGCTCTAAGTGAAACTCGGTAAGTCACATCTCCAACGTAACAGATATAAAAGCAAGAGGGTCAGGGCGTAAGTTTATGAGACAGTAGTATGTCCCGATTGTGTGCATACTGCATGTAAAAGTACGTACTTTTTAAAGGCAGCTGCAGTACCTACTAAAACTAAAAAGAAAAAGTATGCGATTTGAAACGCACCCTATGTGTCAGCCCTGTGATAGTCTGGCAACCTGTCCAGGGTGTACCGTCTCTTGCCCATTGACAGCTGGTACAGGCTCCAGCACCCCAGCATCCCTGTGCCAGGTTATGGAAAATGAATGAATGAATAATCTCTATCTGCAACTTTGCAAAAATAGCAGGTTTTAACAGGATGAATGGACATAGACAAATGAAGCTTTGAGCATTTGAATGTTGATTTAGAATTAAGGGGTAACTGTCATCCATCATAATAATTATGCATAATAATTGCACTGCTAAACACAGAGGGTTATGAGAGCGCTATTAGTTTTGCAGGATGTGGTTATAAACCAAAGTATTGGTGTTGGACAAATTCAGATTTTGACCTGCTGTTGGCAGGTCAAGGATCACTGGAGTTATTATGATTCATCCTCAAGGCACTGTGGATATCTATAGAAAACGTTATGTCAATCCATCCTATAGTTGTTGAGATATGTCTCAAAGTAGGGTATGAATTTCTACATTAAAACATATAACCTAGAGTAAATGTTGGTATTGTTTTCCCATTTTAGGATCCTAATAGCTGTCTTTTCTATCCACACACTGTAACCCAGTTAATATCTTTATCCTTCCACCCTGTCAGAGACGATGGGAACACACCAGTTTCAGCTTGCACACGAGTAGCAGGATTCTCTAAGCCGACATCTCCACCCTGCTGCAACACAAACAAGCAGAAACAACAACCGACTGTTTCCACAATACCTGTCGGGAGGAACCTGCAAACAGCGACAGTGCCGACAGGATCAGTGCTACAGCTGCCAAGATAAAGACGCCGGCCTCATTGAATGTTGAAATACTGATTGATGACATCTGTTCTGCTGCGCTCTGTTGTCAAGTAACACAAGACGACAATTTGTTTTTTTCTGGTAAATGAAAAGCTTTGAATTTACAATTATAGACATTAAGTGTCTGGAAGCTTTTGAGATGAAACACAATGTAATGCATTTTATATCTTTACATGTTGGAATAAAGAGAAGAACTCAGGGATACTGACTTTAAGCGACACCTTATTTTAGGATAAGAACATTCAATTTTTGGTACCTGAACAGCCACATATAATAATTTTATTTACACTCCTTAATTTATATCAACTGCACACAGACTATTTATCGAAGTTGAGCCTGTAAGATAACAACAAAGACTTGCTCCAAACATGCAAGTCACACTGAAATATCTTGTAACATATACATGATGTTGCAGCAGATACGACGCACACTGGGCACAGCCATCTGGATATATGTGAATAATTTATTTTGTTTGCCTTTTTATGGACACAATGGACATAAATCATCATCACTATAAATGTGTCAAGGCCTGTCATGATAATCACGTTGTATAGTGTATGGTATTGCCCGCAGTGTTTACATGTGTGTTTGTTCACAAATGAATGTCACCGACATTTTAGCCAACATGACGCCAGAATAAACAGCAAGGTTTTCCTGACCATGATAAGAATTAGGCGCAGTGCCTAAGCGTTTGAAAACAAGAAAAGCCGCTAATAACGTTTTGCTATTTCGGTAATAAACATATTTTAATTCCTATAGAGTCTTAAAAATAAAAGTCTCCTGTTATTTTGTTATGTAACAACTTTTATTATGAAGCAGCAAAATGAGGAAATGTTGAGTTTTCAAGCAGCAACTTTACACAACTTCTAATACAGCGGATAGCGAACATAAACAGTAAAATAAAGCAGATATGTAAATTAAAAACAGGATGCAGGAGAGAAACTAAATTTCAAACCACAGAGATTTAGTTAGAAGCTAGAAAAGTACTGAGAGCTGAACTTCTAAAAACACCTTTCTCTCTGGTCTCCTGCAGACCAGTGATGGACAAAGCAGTTCTTTAAATGTTACTGAATCACTAGAATCAGTTCATTAAAAAGATTCGTTCAAAAGATTGGTTCACTGAATCGTTCAGTGCTTGGCAGGAGGAGCCCTGACTGTGTACTACGTAGTCCGACTCACTGAACTGATACACTGTTGAGCTACTGCTGCGTCTGCCCTGCACTGGTGAGTCTCCTTATTGGCCAGCCTAACGTTTAAAGTTTGTTTATCTGGAAACGAAGTCTGTTAAAACAATGGGGAGATGTGTGATTGTGTTCATGTGGCTTGACTCCTGGCTACATTAGCCATTAGCTTAGAAAGTGTATCGCTGAGAAGAAATGATTTGAATCACTCAGGGACAGGCGTTACGTTGTTCACCAAGTGATTAATTCACCGAGTGATTTGTCATGCCGTAGGCAGTCCCTCCCTGTACCCGCGCTGCCTCGCGACTCGCGAGTGATTCATCGTTCGCACAGACCGAATTGGCAGTCCCACTCCCGGCTTGCACGCTCGCTGCTGAGCTCAACTGAACTGAGAAATGAATGAATCAGTTCCGGAAGTGATTCAGTTCAGTACGTTCACTCAACAGATTCGTTCTTTTGAACGATTCGTTCGCGAACGACACAACACTACTGCAGACAGAGGAGAGGAGAGTCTCACAACACACACACGGCTTGTTTGAGGGGGAGAGACGGGGCGTCGGGTGTTGGCTGCGGTCGGCTAGACGCCACTGCTACTGGCTTGAGTTCGGGCAGCCCAGCCTTTGAACCTACTCCGGAGAAGGAACACAATTCGGCGCAACATGGCTCGATTGGAACACAAATCTGGACGCAGCTAAAAGTTACAGAGGAAAAGGCCCACAGTATTGTATGTGTGCTGCTGTGGTAACTTATTGCGGTCTACATTGCCCAGCCCTAGTATAAAAGTATCAAGTAGGTCTAAATCCAGTGTAGTTTGAAACAATTAAAAATCTTTGTGGGGGAG